ATGATTCATGACAATGACAATTTTGTTTAGACTTCACTGTTGCAATTATCCTCCAAACTGATTTTTAAAAACATTAACAGTAAACTGGATTGCTCAAAATCACCTGTTGCTACTAAATTTACACTTGAAAGCAGTTTCACAAATAAGCTAAAACAATTTTTAAATATTGCCCAACAGATTGGTGCGACAATACTTTCAGTTTTCAATACTGTGGCAATACATTTGAAGAAATAAACTCAAGTGGGTACAGGCTTCAAAGAGGAGAAAAACATTTTCCCAAGCACATTAAAGACGAACTACAGATGTACATGGCAACAGGAACAAAACCAAATTTTCATAACCAGTCTCTGACATTGAATTAAGGTATATAAAAGTGAACATCATTTCTAAAGAGAAATAAACTTTTCAAAAAGAAAAAACAAAAGACAAAAAAACCCAACTCAAACTGAAAAAGTTTTCTGATCTCACACCAAATTAGACAAGTAGGACAAAAAAGAGTGCACAAATCATATTCTCCCGATCCAAAAAGTTAAGAGAAATAAAATACTTATATCAAACATTCTACAGGTATTCTAATTAAATAATTTAAAATACAAAACGCATTCCTCTATTTACAAAAGCCTTACGTACACTATGTTTGAGATCGCATCAACCTTATTTAATGAAGGAGGAAAAAGAACTCATATTAAACCAACACATTCAGCGGACATTTCAGAAACAAAAATCTCTCAAGTGTCATGGTCTCTTGATACGTGGCTGCTGACTGCTATTTCAGTGAACTCCTAACAAAAGAAACACAAATCAATTCTATTTCAATTCTTCAGTTCAAAGTAAGACCCACCCTCCATATGGCCACAATTTTAGTTGACTGAGACGCTTTTGTTCCAACTTGAGGATATTTTGCAAGATATACCTTGAGAAAACTGAAGTCCTTCATAGGACGATGTTTGAATGTTTGTATTTCAAAATGTGTTCCTCGAAACCGCAAAATGCGTGGTAGTGGGAGGGACAATTAGTACAAGCAATGTCAGTTTTATTTTTTTAGTTTTAGTAAGAGTTTTATGGCACTTACAACACAATTAGGTCAATCAGTGCTGAAGATTAGAGTTGTTACCAGAAAGTAAAATATAAAGAAAAGGAGGAAGAAGAGGAGAGACAAGGACAATAGATGTTTGATATGATAGTAGGAACAAACACACCAGAGCGCCTAAAAAACCACCCACGAGCACTGTCATGACTTGTGAAAACAAACTGTGGCAGGGAGCCCTGTCATCGTGATTCAGAGTTAGATCGTCTCCTCAGCAATATCATGTAAGGCTCTGAGTGTACACCAAAGTCAGTTCTTCACAGTTGTAGCAATTCATAATCATTCTAAGCAAGAAAGAATAAGCACTGTGGCAAACACATACAACAACAACAGCACCTTTCTGACTATCACAGACCACTCTCCGTCTCTAGTGAAGAAATTCTGGTTAAAGTGACATGACTTTCAACTCTCAGTATGAATTCTGTGTTTTTACTCTAGGCATCTCAGACAAAGAACATTTCAGGCACTCAGAACCTCCTCACTGCGGTCACAAAAAACATTTTCCTTTCATTGCCAGGGTAAACCAAGAAAAGAAATCCTATCCAGTTCAGCACTCAGCCTACACTACAAGTATAACGCTAAAGAATTACCTAAAGCCTAAGGCTAAGGCATTGTCTGTCCCCGTGACTCTATGCACCCCGCATAATTTAGCAAAATTGGACCATTTTGTGCATAATTTCTGATTATTTTCCTTTATCATTCTTTTTAAAAAATTAACAGATACCCATAATTACACATTTTTCGGACCCAGTTTGCATAATTTCAGAATTTTCTTGCATAAAACGATGGGGCCAGTACAGTGAGGATACTGACAATAAAAGAATTAACAATTCGACGGGGGCTGGGGGGAGCATGTCCCTTCAAAACAGCCCGTACCTCTCAGAAAAGTTGTAGACTTTACCCTGTGTCTTAATTTGACCATGTACCAGCAACAACAGCTATAATAGACTAAAATTTATAACTAAAAAATGAAAGGGGGGGAGGGGTAGTCCCTTCAAGAGAGTCCACACCTCTCAGAAAGTTCAAGAAATAACCCTGTGCCACAATTATATTATCCTTCACATTTGAACAAGAATCTTGACCGAGTTATACGGATACGTAACTCAGAACCACAACTAAAAACATTCTATAACCAGCAAGAGAGTGACAAGGAGAAAAAACGAAAAGAGTTCCAATTTTCCTTCAAACACATAAACAAATGATGTCATCTTAAAGCGCTTGTTTCGAACAAAGATTAGATATGTTACCAGAGAGTAAAATACAAAGAAAAGAGGAAGGAAGAAGAGATAATGATGATGGATGTTCAATGGGTAAGAAGAAGCAAACCACACCAAAGCACCCGCCAACCACCCGCCTTAATTACCTGTTGTTATGATGAGCGTGTCTGTTTATTACCCATTCATAATATAAATCTGATTGTCATCAAAAAAGTTTTTTAATATAAAAAAAAAAAAAATGAAAACATTAGCCTTCAGCACATATTAAAAAAAGATCATCCCCAAAACACCTACAGTTTGCAAAATTAATCCGAAATACTTTACAAACACTATACGTGATCATTCAGTCTCCCACAACAAATAACGACAAAATTGAAGGAGACAAATAGTAAAGCTAGGTGTACGTTTGATTCCAACATCCATCTCTGACGGTAGAAACCCAAGCCAAGAGGGGAGAGAGCCATTCAAACTCTCATTTAAGTTTTAGTAAGAGTTTTACGGCACTTGCAAAACAGTAAGGTCATATAAGTGCCGAAGTTTAGAGGTGTTACAAGAGAGTAACAAACACAGAAAAGAAGTACGAGAGATCAGGACGATAGATGTTTGATAGGAAAGAAGGAGCAAACCACACCAGAGCACCCGCCAACCACCCGCTTAAACTCTGAACAACCTATGTAACAACCTACGTTCAACAAGCACTACAGTTTTGGATCAAACCATAGTCACCTACAGCGCAGTCCATCACAAAACTGACTGAGCTGACAGGCCACTCACGGAACAAGAGAGAAAGGAGATCAATATATGTCTCCTTCACAAAGAAGAAAAAACCAGTCGCCTATGCTAGACAAGCACAAAGATACAAGTCACTGGCCTTTTCATTCACAATCACATCAGCAACCAGACCGCACCGTACAGTTGGCAGCCAACCGTCGTCACAAAAAAGACAAAAACATTTTTCACCAATAAATTCTCTTGTAAATCACACTTTGAAAGTGCCCATGGTCAATCAACAACTGTCAACAAATAAAAACAAATATCAATCTTCAGCGAATATGCAATCTGAAACATTGGGACTGAGAATATGGGGGGGGGTCCATTTCCACATCATCAATACATGAAGCCCACATAGAACTCATAAATAAAAGCACTGAACAAAACAAACTAAAAACATATTTTTGCTTACAAAGGAAAAAAAATCATGAGTATTGGTCAGCCTATTCATTTTTGTCGGCGAAAAATTAATCCATCTTTCAGATATTTGACGTAAAGTCAGTGAATTTCCCGAAACCAGCAAATTATTACAATTTAAATAAACCCATACAACATTTATCACAAACTATATGTGAAAACCTTCTCCCCAATAGTAGAAATATTTCGTATTCAGATCTGACTCTCCAAGTATCAAATATAATCAAAATAAACAGTAACCTGCGGTAACTGTACAATCCACATGAAGATGACAGAAAATCTTTTCGTCAAAGTCATCATTGTCCATGAAGACTTAAAAGAGCGTCCATGGAGAATCTCAAAACTTTTCTTCGCTGAAAGCTCAAAAAAACAAAACAATTTTAGTTCATGTAGAACCGGTTTTCATTAAAATTTGAAACGTTCTTAAAAACACCAAAATAAACAACTTCACATCGCTTTTGAATATCTGATAAAACAACAATTTGTCCAGAAATCATACAAAATGAATTGTAAGAAAAAATTCCAAATGAAATCAAATGCTGAGCACACTGTTAACACAATGAAAATAAAAAATTAAAAAAACAACAAAAAAAACACATGAAGACCACAAGGGGAAGAACTGCAGAGTCACATTTTCAGATCATTTTGAGTCATACCCCTTAGAGACTTCACGACTTAACAGTGTAACTTGACGGAACATCTTAAACTGAGAAAAAAAACCCAGGAGGGTCTATGTTAAAACGAATGGAGAAAATTCTTCATCCTCTGAGAGACATAATAGTAATTGAATGTAGCCCATATCCATGCTCTACACCAAGGCTTGTCAACCTTTTTATGGCTTGCACCAACATTTCTTATCTTTCAGTGGCTAAAATTTCTGTACCACCCAACAACATGTATTTCCCAGCAGGTTATCAAAAAACAGCTGGCTGTCACAACGCGGGTGATTCCCATAGCCTACCAAAATGACCAAATGACCCACGAGATGGCAATATTCGCCCTGGTAGGCAAGCACTGATCTACAACAGGCTCTATATTACCTAAGCAGACCCTAAAACCATTATAAAAAGGAGAAGATGGAGATGGATTGGACATGTTCTAAGAAGAGACCCAGACTCTATTGTGAAGACTGCCCTCCACTGGACACCCGAAGGACGTCGCAAAAGGGGCAGACCCAAAGTGACCTGCAGACGCACAGAAGAGTCAGAAATGAAATCCTGGAATCATTCGTGGGGAACGCCGACCAAGATGGCCTAAAACAGACAGAGCTGGAGATCCCTTGTTGCTGCCCTAAACGCCAGATGGCGTAATGGGTAGTCAGTAAGTAAGACCCTAAAACACTTAAGACACATTCTCGGCTCACCAAACTTCAAAACTGAATATTTCTCAAATTCTGCAAAAGTGTGACTCTGCCATTTTTTCCCCTTGTAGTCTTATATCTTTAAAAAAAAAACCAAAAAACAAAACACAAAACCCCAAAAAAACCCTATCCAAGGCTGCCGCTATACCATCTGCTCCGGGTAGAACAAGCTCTCTCGTATGTGCTGCTCCTGCTGCTCGCGACGTCTCATGACGAACTTCTTCACTTCCGACACCACAAACACCGTGGACGTCAGACTGATCAGGAAGGCAAAATCTGGAAGGACACATTGTGGAAAATAAGGAGAATAATAATAATAAAAATAACAATAATGATTTATTGTTATGAAACCCGGAGTCGGGCGAAACGTTGAACGTATTATAAAATATTTTTGGAAATTTTACCAAGTCTCAACCTTTTTTATTCTCTTCTATACATAATAACAATAATGATGATGATGATGATGATAATAGTGATATATAATAATAATAATATATAACACTTTATTGATCACCCTGGGCAAATTTGGGTCGCAATGGCAAACAAACATACACACATACATACATACATATTTAAACAGATGTACATACAATAAATACCAAATACAAAAGATTACACCAATGCACACTGCAACAATGGACAAATGAAGATTACAGAAAAAAAAACAATGGTCGTATTAAAATTTAGCATAGAGAAATCTTAGTTTCAAATTTTGGAACCATGTATCTTAAAGTAAAGAAGGATACAAAATTTTCTCACTTCATATCTACATTGTACATGAATCCTGTTATTTTTCTCCATTCAAAATAGAGTCAAACCTGCTCTGACAGCCACCTGTCTAAGACAGTCAATTGTACAAGCGAACATTTCCCACTTTCTACCCGCTCTTTTTTCTATATGGAAAGCAGCATGGTGTAATCAGGCGCTCGTTAAAATAACGAAATCGAGAAAAAGGAATTTTTCCGCCAGTTTGGAAATTTTTATGGAATTTTTATTTTTAAGCTTAACCTCTTTTATGTCCATATTAAAAACATATTTCCATGTGAATTTTACTGAAAAGCATTGATTAAAGGCACAAAATATGTTATTTTTCAGTTTTCAAAGACTCTTTGGGTATTGGAGTTACCAAACTTTGGGGGCCATTTTTTCGCTAATTTCACCACTGAAATCAGGCGACATCATTTCCTTCAATCGCAAATATCTTGATTTCTACTCAAGATGAATGGATATTTATGTGATTGAAAGCAAGGCAAATAATTCAGCTTTCAGATGAAACAAATAACTCCACATGCCCAAAAATTGACAAGCGCCTGATTCCACTGCATCGTGACACATTACAATAACACTGCCGAGGACATCCATCTGTCTAGAACACTGACTTTTCTCCTCGTCTTAGTTTTAGTCTTTGTAAGAGTGTTACAGCACTTGCAACACAATTAAGTCATATAAGTGCCAAATATTAGTTGGGTATTTTGTTTGTTTTTTTGTCTCTTTTTTTTGTAGAGGTTTTACGGTGCTCGCAACTGCATAAGGTCACATGAGCGCCAAGGGGTGGATGTCAACAGAGAAGTTCAAACTGGGAATAAGGCTTACTCAGCTCACCTCTCTAGCTTCAACAGCACAAAGTCTGCTTCGACTATCAAGGCACCCCGGAAATAGCAGTTGACAAGAGAGTGACAAACATACAAAAGAAGTAGAGGAAAAATGACGATAGTAATGATGAGGAAAGAAAAAGCAGCAGTACCACCTTGCTGTTCCGGCACAGTATGAGCATGACATTGAAAATTCAGACCATTTACAATTCTACTGTGCATAAGAACATGTCAATGTCCCCCCTTTGGGAATGGCCTAAAGACACTTCTGTCCATAGCACTGCTCTGACATGGCCTGTGTGTGATATAATATCTCAACATTGCAGCACAAAAATGGAAATATTTGATAAAATAAGTTCCCCTAGTGAGAGCCCAACTCATAGTTACTGGTATGGTAAGAAAGCCACTTACTTCTTCCATGGCCTCACTACAGCAAGGTTTTTGTTTTTCGTGTTCCGAAAATCCTATAAACATTATTGAGACTATTTGACTGATTTTTTAAGTCTCAAAACAAGGAGAAAAAAAGGATTTCGGTACCTGTATTATGAATATGACAGTTTACTATTTTTACTTTACTTTTCCGATCCAGCGGCCATCTGGGTTCTAGCCCTTCGGCCTGTCGATATGGCAAAGAATTTACAGGTTTTTATCAGCCATGACGGTTTGCTAAAAAGGTCAAACACGGGACAAGTTGCAAATTTATCTCCTTATCAAATGTTCAAACAAAGACCACTGCTGACTTACCTGACAAGGACAATGCCTCCGTCTGAAATATTTTTTGCAGCGGTGGGAAGAAGACGACCATCAGCTGACCTAGGATGGAACCTCCGACTGCATACAGGAACATACGATTAGTCGTCAGTCCAATCTGAAACACCGACTTGTTCTGGGGAGAATTAGAGAACAGAAGTTAGAGGACTGTTAAAAAATATGGAGATAAGACAACAAAGCACTGAGTTCACAACTTGATGAAGCCCACGTGGGATGCTCTCTCCTCACTGTTAAAAACAACAGGAAACGATAAATGCAGTTTTTGGGACACCTGCATAGACATAAAGGTCTTGAACATCTAGCTCTCACTGGCAAAACTGAAGGCAAACGAGGCAGGGGTCGGCCCAGAGCAACCTTATAAAGGAACCTAAACAAATGGGTAACAGGGTAAGATCAGGGTAACTTAGCTTTTTCAAAGAGCATCCGAGCAAGGGAATGAATGGAGAACTATAATCACCGATGTCTGCCGCAGATCTGGCACTTAATGATAATGATTATAACGACATCTGTCTGGGAGGACCATTTTTTTTCTTGTCAAAGGGTGGTCTTGTTGGACAGGTTCAACAGTACGCAAGAGTGCCCAACATTTTTACCAAGCACAGGCTCAAAATCAGAAGGATCTATTCACACAATTTGGAAACAGCAAAACACAAGGAAAGTAAAGAAGGAGGACCTACCACTCGCGACCTCAGTGCTTTCTTGTCATATCTCCATTATTTTAAACAGTGAAAATGTGACTTAAGCTCACTCTTTATTGTTAACTGTTTTCACTGTTATTAAAAATGGAGAAATGACAAGAAAGCACTGAGGTCGCGCACAGGTGCCCTCCAACCACCCACGCCCTCCTGACTACATCGTCCAGAAAAGGACAAAGGTCACAGAGGTCACTGAGTGCACTCACCTGTGACCGGCAGCTCAGGGCGTTGAACATGTCAAAAAACACAAAGCAAGTGAAGGTCATGGTCGTATCTCTTGGAGTTATTTTGCCATCTTGCATCTGAAAGGAACAACAGATTTTAGTTTAGTTTTAGTAGAGGTTTTACGGTGCTCGCAACAGCATAAGGTCATATGAGCACCAAGGGTTGGATGTCAACAGAGAAGTCCTTACAGGGATTCAGGCTTACTCTGCTCACCTCTCTAGCTTCAACAGCACAAAGTTTGTTTTGACTATCAAGGCACCCCGGAAATAGCGGGTCACAAGAGTGTGACAAACATACAAAAGAAGTAGAAAAAAATGACGATAGTAAGGATAAGGAAAGAAAAAGTTGCAGTTCCCTGTTGCAGTTCAGGCTGTCATGAGCATGACATTGATGAATCAGCCCATTTACAATTTACAATTCTACTGTGCATAAGAACATATTAATGTCCCCCGTTTGGGAATAGCCTAAAGACACTTCAGTCAGTAGCACCACCCCAGGGGGTGACAACAGTTTTTGATAAGGAGAAATCAATCAAAACTGCAAAACAGGACACTGTATCAAGAATTCTGTTTAAAACAAAAGTTATTCAACATTCTATTTGAAAGATATTTTTTTCATTTATACAAATATTTGGCACTTCTCATATGCTTGCACATAAGTGTACCTAATTTGTTAAGCCCATGGGGCATCTAAAACAGTATTGTAAAGTATTGTGAAAATGTTATGCCCCATCGACACAATTTAAATAATTCAGGAAACAGGCCACTTCAGCACTACTAGTCAGAACCGACAGGGCCGGAGTAGGATTTAGCATCCAGCAGACAGACGGAGATGCTCCATAAAACAACTTCCAAAGTCCGAGATCTAACTCGAATCTTGTACATTTGCCAGCAAGAGTCTCACCTTGACACTAGAGACACCAGACACTTAACACACTATCAATGTGGGTGGTTGACGAGTGCTCTGGTGTGGTTTGCTTCTTCTTTCCTATCAAACATCTATTGTCCTTATCTTTCTTCCTTCTTTTTTGTATTTGTTACTCTCTTGTAACACCGCTAATCTTCAGCACTTACATGACCTTATTGTGTTGCAAGTGCCGAAAAACACTAAAACTAAACACTACCAATACAAATTATGTAAATTTTTGCTATCCACATTGGGCAAGGTCATTTAAGTGCCAAAGATTTGAGGTGTTCCTAGATAGTAACATACAAACAAAAGGAGGAGAAGAGATAACGACGATTAATGTTTGATAGGAAGGAAGGAGCAAACCAGATCAGAGCACCCATCAACCACCCACAGGTCCAAGAACCAATGTCCACTATTATAAAAGCAAAGCTAAAAAGAAAAACAAAAAACAAACACAAACAACCAAACAAAAGGACAATCAGACTTCGTCAGAGCTCGCTCACCTCACGGTAGAAGACCCAGAGCGTCCCAAAGACGATGATGAGGGCGGAGGACAGGACGTTGAGCACCAGCGAGCGTGTAATGATGTTGTCGCGGACTTTACGTGGCGGCTGACGTAGAACGTCGTGGTCCACGGGCTCCACACCCAAACTGTGGACCCACGTAAAACATTCATGTTTTTTTTTAGTTTTAGTAATAAGAGTTTTACGGCACTTGCAACACATTAAGGTCATATAAGTGCCGAAGATTAGAGGTGTTACAAAAGAGTAACAAACATAAAAGAGGAGGAGAGATAAAGATGATAGTTGTTTGATAGGAAAGAAGGAGCAAACCACACCAGAGCACCCGCCAACCACTCATTCATGTATATATCTTGAGGTTATATCATTGGAGAATACTGTAACAACAGGCAGGTTTGATGGAAAGAGAGGCAGAGGCAGACAGAAGGAAAAGATACTGGACAAGTTGACAACATGGCTGGGAACAGCAAGAACGGCAGACACCATCACTGCAACGAAAGACAGAGTCATCTTCATCCTCATCATCATCATCATCACCGACTAAACAATTCCACTTTTTCTTGTTGTGTTTTTCTTGTTTCTTTTTTTTTCTTGAAACATAATTTGCACCATGTCAATACATTTTTACGTTGTAACCTACAAATATCGGCACCAAAATCAGGACATGGGGAAGAAAAAAAAGTAGGAAATACCAGTGGCATCCTCCAAGTACCCGTGAAAGAAACAAGACAAGCTGTCACTTCAAAAGCCTTGAATTAAAATCAATTTTACAGATGTTATGGTCGCAACACAGACTGAATGGAAAACAATTTTTTATCTAAAATCTGAAAGAATTTTCACAATTTGTGATTATGGGCATGTGTGGTTAAAAAGAACATTTCTAATAGAAAATGTACATTGTATAATATTTAATTATGAGATAAAAATCAAGATAAATATTCGATTAAAACAAGATATCTTGTAGCATCTACCTGCAATATTTCAACTCATTTTAGTAAATAAAAAAGCCTTTGGGGAAAAAAACTTAACAACATAAAGAAAATATAAAAGGCCATCACCTTTTGGCTATTTTTTTTTTTCAACACAAACACAATTTTTGTTTAAAGGGAGGGGGGGGGGGCATTAAACATTTAATTAGCCCCCAAATGAAACGTAAGCTTCCAGCACTAAAATACACCCTAAACAAGTATTTGTAGATTTGACCTATTTTATACATACAATTCAATCTTCCAACTTAAAACACAACATGTGCCCCTCAATCAACATCTCAACCTAATTGGAGTAAAGCAGTCTGCTGCCTGCCCACTATGTGACTTCCCCTAAGAGACTGTGGAACATCATCTGTTCTTCTGTAGAAAACAAACCGATCTGAGGGGATGTTTTCTTCCCAAGCTACCCCACACATCTAATTGCCTCTACTCCTCAAGACAACAATTAGAACAGACATGCAGCTCTTACAGAATGGTATCATGCAGAAGAGTTAACGCTCAGATACTACTGGACCGCTAACAACAACAACATACACGCCATTCAGTCAATTTGCCAAAGTGTATAACCCCACCTCTGAGCTGGCGGGCCGTCCATGATGATGTTGATCCACAAGATCTGCATGGCATTCAGAGGGTTGGGGAATCTCATTATCATAGAAATTGCCACCAAAGACAGCGCAGCTATGCTCCTGAGGAACAGATCACGTAAAATTCCTAAGTGAACAGATGAAGATAAAATTCCTGAGTCATACTGGACAAACAGAACTCATCCAAGCGTATAACACTTACAGATCAACTACTATCCTGTGGCTGACAAATCAGTGAGGACCATGATTGCAATCAATGACTGTTAAGAAGAAGCATAACCATCAATAGAATTGGAATAGTTCACATCTTAATATAGACGTGCCTCGCAAACACACTATGAATGTGTTTACTTCTTCTTTGCACAAGTTTGGAGAACATGGATAAGAACTAGAAAACATAAAAGTATAAAATTTTCCTATTCAAGTGTTCTCATGAAGGGTATGCCTGAAGAAAAGTATTATACTCACAGACAGTCACAAGTGTTAAGTGCGTACAACGCCATTTAAAATGCTTTTGGGGAAAGGCAAAGTCTGCGAAATAAGTTAAAGCAAATGACAATCAGCTGCACTTCTTAAATTAAACACTACCTAAAAAGAGCAGGTTCGCCTTTGTCTGAACATGTAGATGGGTAGTTGGCGGGCGGTCTGGTGTGGTTTGTTCCTTCTTTCCTATCAAACAACTATCCTCTTTATCTCTCCTCCTTCTTTTTTGCGTTGTTTATTTCTCTCCTGTAACACCTTTAATCTCCGACATTTACATGACCATATTGCTGTGCAAGTGCCGTAAAACTCTTACTAAATCTAAAAATTTAAACAAGAGAAAATGTAGAGTCCTGGTAAAACAACTATGAGAATGTGAGAGAGTTTTTACTTACGTGCTGAGCTGAAACCTCACAAAGTTCTTGATGTTATAGAAGATTCCTTTGCCCTCTTCAATGGCAGCCCTGAAATGGTCAAATTTTTCTAAAAATCAAAATCTTTCTTTGTTCGGCACCGTCAAGTTTTCAACAAACATCAAAATCTTTCTTTGTTCGAGACTGTCAAGTTTTCAACAAACATTAAAATCTTTCTTAGTTCGGCACCGTCAAGTTTTCAACAAACATCAAAATCTTTCTTAGTTCGGCACTGTCAAAAAGTTTTAAACAAACATCAAAATTTATGCAACCAAGGTGAATGATATACCTAAACATTACAATAACAACTATAATCAGCCCCCTACTTCCATTTCTATAAGTACTTTACATCTCCATAAGACAAATATCCGTTCATAATGGTTTCAATTCTGCACATTAATCAACAGAAATTTTGTGCACCTTACAGGACATTTTGGTAATTCTTCATCAAACCTTTAAACTGAATAGCTGAGAAGTTTTTTTATTTTTGTTAAGTTCTTGCGTGTCAAGTATACTCTTTACTCTGCAATCTGTTAACTTTCTTCAGTTTTTATACTTCTATGTCATTATTCATAACCTTTTCAAAGAAGCATCTTTTCTATTTACTATTACTTTCTTTTCTCATTTACATTTTTTTCTCCTAGTCTTTACAAAGTTACCAATGTTATATTTTTTTCTATTTTACTATTTATAATTGTTTTCTCATTTATATCTTTTGATTGTATAATGAAAACTTAACAATTATATCTCTTTTATTGCATTACACAGCTTTTTCAAAAATCAGGTTCAGTGACATACTTTCCCTGTGACAGACTTACAAGATAGTGCTGAGGTCGTCATCCACGAGGATCATGTCAGCCGCTTCTTTTGAGACATCCGTGCCCGTCTTGCCCATGGAGATTCCGATCTCGGCCGTCTTCAGAGCCACAGCGTCGTTGACCCCGTCCCCAGTCATCCCCACCACGTGATGAGCCGACTGAAGGGCCTGGGCAGACAAAGTAGATCAAAGTTTTAGTTTTTCTAAGAGTTTTACGGTTTTAGCATCACAATAAGATCGTATAACAGCCGAGATTAGAAGCGTTACAAGAGAGCTTTTAGTTTTCGTAAGAGTTTTACGGCACTTGAAACACAATAAGATTGTCTAAGTGCCAAAGATTTGAGAAGTTACAAGAGAGTAACAAACACAAAAAAGGAGGAGAGATCATGACGATAGATGTTTGGTAGGAAAGAGGGAGCAAACCACACCAGAGCACCCGCCAACCACCCACTGAAGGCGTTACAAGAGAGCAACAAACACGAAAAAGGAGAAGGTAAAAAGTAAGGAGACACAGAAAATACTAAGTATATTGAGACCCATTTGAAAATAGAGATTTTAGATTATGAATGCTGTTGTCTATTTTCACTTCAGCAAACATTTTTCTTTTTTTAATCTTTGTACTGTCTACTTTAAATGATTGTACAAGGCCAAGAGCTTGTTTCATTACAAAATAAAATGGTATACAAATGCTATTCATTATATTATTATTATATTATTATTATTATTATTATTATTATTGTTATTATTATTGTTATTATTACTAGAGGCACCCTCAAATCACACCCTGGAAAATTCTGAGACAAGAAGAGCAAAACAGAGAGATTACGACAAAGACTGAACACATCCATGAAGTAAACATAAGAAAGGAAAAGACTGAACACCCCCCAACCCCCCCCCCCCCCCCCTCACACACCCTCCACACACACCCCTCGCACATCCCCCTCACCCCACCCTCCCACATCCTCCGCCATCCCTAGCCCCTCACTGACCTTGACAATCTTGAGCTTGTGCCGGGGCGTGACGCGGTAGAAGATGCCGACCTTGTCGATGTTGCGAGCCAGCTGACCAGTGTCCATGTCCTCCAGAGTCTCCCCGGACATGGAGCCCGCGCCGTGAGCATACAGACCCAGCCTTGACGCTGAGGAACACACCATAGGTGGAAACGTTTGTTTTAGTAAGCGTTTAGTTTAGTTTTAGTAAAAGCTTTACGGCACTTGCAACACAATAAGGTCATATAAGTGCCGAAGATTAGAGGTCAAATAAGTGCAGAAGACTAGCCATGTCACAAGAGAGTTACAAACACAAAAAAGGAGAAAAGTGACCAAAATGAAATCTGTTAGAATATTACAGTTATGTGCCGTAACAGAGCATCTTCAAACATTGTCGAATAACTAGAATGCAATCTGTTAGAATGTTATAGTTATGTCCCATATCAGCATTTCAAGCATTGTCGAATAACCAAAACGAAATCTATTAGAATACTGGTTATGTCTCATTAGAGAGCATCTTCAAGCATTGCCAAATAGCCAGAATGCAATCTGTTAGAATATTAGCCTATATCTCCTTATGCGCAACGCGACGTTCAGTCCCGCGTGACAGTCGCTAGTGACGGGTCGCGAGGTGTGTACCTTTATGCGTGACCGCATTGCATCAAAATTTTCAGTATTCTGTCTCCTTATGTGCCACGCAACGTTTAGACGCACGCGACTGGCTAAGCTCTCACGTCACTGGTAATTCACAGAAGAGAGACAGAGGCAAATTTTAATGTCAAGATGGACAAGGAAGTACAAAGTCTGTCAGATGGGAACTCTACGAGCCGCTGACATTTTTTATTCCGTATATGGCCAATCCCATGTCAGTCCTCCTCCTCCTCCTCCTCCTCCTCTTCCTCCTCCTCCTCTTCCTCCTCCGCCTTCTGCCCGTTAAAAAAACAAAACAAAAAAATTAGATTCACAAAACTTGCATTGGGTCGAATTGAAGATGCACACACGCGCACACACACCACACCAACCACGACGTGTCGACCAGCACTCCTTGGCTAGGTATTTTTACCAATGGTGATGTTCTAAACCTGTCACACCCCCAGTCTGTCGCACGCGACGAGACCCTCGATCGCTACATGGACCGATGGCAGGCAATGGTTGTGAGCAACTTGATGTCATGACACGCGTGAGGAGACGATTTCTTTATAATCTTACTTGATTGATTTTAGAACAACAAGGAGCACATGTGACACGATGTCAAATCACCCATAAGGAGACAAGCTCTTACAGTTAAGTCCCAAAACAGCATTTCACGCATTGTCGAACAACCAAAATGCAATCTATTACAATACTGAAGTTATGTCCGATAACAGAGCATCTTCAAGCGTTGTCGAATAACCAATATGCAATCTAGAGCAGCTTCAAGCATTGTTGAATAACCAGAATGCAATCTGGTAGAATATTGAAGTTTTGTCACAAAACCGTACTCCACCCTTCAAGTCTTGTTGAAAAGTCAGAATGCAGCCATCAGTCAGAATGTTGAAGTTACGTCCCAAAACAATCGCATCTTCAAATCTTCAAGCGCTGTCCCAAAACAATCGCATCTTCAAATCTTCAAGCGCTGTCGAAAGCCCAAAATGTACATCCCCAAAGGAGGATTCAAACCCGACTCACCCACAGACTTGGCGGTCTCCTCGCCGTCCCCCGTGAGCATCTTGACCCCGACGTCCATGCCCAGCAGGGTGGTGATGGCCTCCCGCACGCCCTCCCGCGGCGGGTCCATGATGCCCACCATGCCCACATAGATCAGCTCCGTCAGCTCTGTCCCGTACGCCATGCCCAGCACTGGAAGTACAAATGACTAAATGAATGAGGGAATGAATAAACAAATACATGAATAAATAAACAACTACATGAATAAATAGACAAATAAAACTAAACAAATATATTAATCAATCAATAAATAATTTGCCAATAAAAGAATGAATGAATGAATGGATGGATGAATGAATGAATGAATGAATGAATGAATGAATGAATGAATGAATGAATGAATGAATGAATGAATGAATGAATGAATGAATGAATGATTAGTTTTAGTAGATTCTTAAGGCACCTGCAATTCAATTAGGTCATATAAGTGCCAGAGATTAAAGGGGTTACAAGAGAGCAACAAACACATAAAATAAAGTAGGAGAGATGAGGACGATAGATGTTCGATAGAAAAGACGGAGGGAAGAATGATGAGAACAATACATGTTTTAAAGGACAAAAGGAGAGATGAGGAAAATAGATGTTTGATAGGAAAGATGGAGGATGAGGACAATAGATGTTTGATAGGAAAGATGGAGGATGAGGACAATAGATGTTTGATAGGAAAGATGGAGGATGAGGACAATAGATGTTTGATAGGAAAAAAAGAGAGATGAGGTCAATAGACGCCTCCAACCTCTGAGACCGGTGGCCCCCAGTCTGTGCGCCTCCTCCAGGTAGACTTCCTTCTGCTTCTCCTTGAGCGGCACCGAGCTGCCGTGGCTGTAGAACAGGTTACAGCGAGACAACACGCGCTCAATCGCACCCTTCACGAAGAACACCGAGTATTGCTGAAAGGAGAAAGTACACGGTTATCTGTGTATAGAACAGGTAGCGGCGAGACAGTTTTAGTTTTAGCAAAAGTTTTACGGCACTTGCATCACAAAAAGGTCATATAAGAGCCGAAGATTTGAGGTGTTAAAAGAGAGTAACAAACACAAAAAAGAAGGAGGGGAGATAAAGACGATAGATGTCTGATAGGAAAGAAGAAGTAAACCACACCAGACAACCCGCCAACCACCCACGCAGCGAGACAAGATGCGCTCGATCGCACCTTTCACAAAGAACACTGAATATTGCTGGAAGTAGAAAGAGCATAGTTGTTCAAGTCTGCCATTTCCTGATTAATTGTGATTGATAGATTATACATTCTCCTGCCGTGCCTCCTCATCAATCCGACTACTTCTGGATCCAGAACTCTCATCCGCTGCTCCTACTCTTATATTACACACAAAAACCTGTTTACAGTTGCCTTTAAAAAAACTCATCAAACTTCCACACTATATATCACCTAGGTCTCGCAAAATAAACGATTTATCACAAAGCTTGGAAGATCTTGGCTTAACTAGGCCAAGGTAAACAAAACAAAGCTAAGAGATCAACATTTATTTGCAAAAGAACAAAAAAAGCCAAAAGCATTTTCCAAGCAGCCAAACTCTTTAAAGTACAAAACAGTACAAAAGAAACGTGTCAATTTAAAATAACCACCAAACTGGCAGTGCTAACTCATTAAATAAAAGCAAGCGAAAATCACTTTAAAGCATGTTTGGCTACACATGTACATATGTACTTGTCTCAGCTGGTTATTCACAGACCACTGTCAAGCAGACCTTGCATCTATTTTGTCACTTTTAAGGACAAGCGGGCTAACTCAGATTTCGGGGGTCTACAGAAATCTTGACCTACATCAAAAGTGGGCATTGCCCTACCTATAGGAGAAGTTTGGTTTCATTGGAGTGTAATTTGTTTGGTTAGAGCGAAAAACTCTCCTTGTCTTTAAAAGAAACTGAACAAGGGCCAAAAACTTTTACCTTCGATTTTCTCAAAACAGCATTTTTCGGGATAGCCCCCTTGTGCATAAAAGCGACCATTTGCAGTAGTAAAGCCCCAGTTCTGCTGCTTTATTTTCAATTGTGATCTTTGGTATTCAACATTCGCCAAATTCAACAGCCGTGTCAGCAGGGTTGGCAAAAGAGGTCAATGAAAAGACCCATTTGTTAAAGAGAATACACAAAACAGAACAGGCTAAGTTTCCCTCTTTTCAACCTTAGTTTTACAAAATCTCAGTGCCAATTGAAAATTTGGTAGTTTAGGCACCTTTATCAGCATGACGGTATAATAATAATATGTCCAAAATCTGTAATTACAAGAAAAATCAGACAAAATAGGCAGCCTTCATTATTCTAAATTGTGTCAAAGGGGGCCTAAGACATTTAGAATGGCTAGCTGTGAGTACAAACCTCGTCTATCTCCGGGTGACACTTGACGGCCATCATCTTCGTCTCGCTGGTGAAGGGCCACTCCTGCACACGCACGTAGAGCTTGCGAAGGTCGTGCAGGTTCATCTGGTAAGGACAGAGATAACAACACAACTTTGAACAGGAAAGTAAGGCTGGCACCAGGCTCTGTGGTCTTTTCTTAACCCTTCCAGCCCCAAACGCGTATATTTTCAGCAGCGCTTGTACCTGCCACAGTCCCAAGAGCGTACATTCTCAATTTCGGAGGGTACCGAATTTGTACATTTTTTTAAATCAGCGAACCTAATTAAACTTTAATTTTCATAATTTTTGTTCATTTACCTTTAAACATTATATGTTATTATCTAAACCTCATTACAAAAACACTACATCACTTTTTAGAATGTATGCCTCTTTTTCTGAAAAACTGCTGTATTGGCTGGGACTGGGATTAGGGAGTGCACAAACATGGCTGGGGCTGGAAGGGTTAAAATGTAGATGTTTTCACATCCCCATCGACATAATATAGATCATTTAGGAGGCTGGCTTCAACCCCGTCTGACAGGGAACATCCCGGACAGAGATGGACACAACGTCCCCATAAAAAGCCCGAGATACTGGATAAAAATTTTCCCTACTCAGGAATTGAGCTCGGGTCTCCTGTGTGTGCAACAGCGAAGTGTCTAACCACTTTACCACAGTGATCAGTCTTATCTTCTTTCTCAGTTTACCCTGACCCCAATTACTCTCAACACACCCACTTTGGCAAGCGGTGTAATGGTTAGACTCTCTATCGTTGTTTGCAAAAGACGCGAGTTTGACTCCAGTGTGGGGAATTGTATTTTACTGGGCATCCCTGCCTGTCTGCTGTGATGGTGTATCTCACTCTGCCCAAATTTTCCTTGATGGGCAAGGAGGAAGCAGCATGTTGTCTAAATTATGTCAGTGAGGGAGTAAAACATCTATAATTAACAATCTGCTCAGACACACCATTATCATAAAGAAAAATTTGACAGAACCATTAAGAAAGCCAGCAAGATCTCTGGATACGAATTTACTCAAACAGATGAAATGTATAACACAAGTATTTTTTTTAAAGCATTATAAACAACCTATCACATCCCCTTTCCATGCAAATTGTAAGATCACGCAGCGGCAGATATGTACCTCTAAAAACAAAGAAAAAAAGATATAAAAGAAGTTTTTTAACATCCAGCATAAGGTTATAGTCTGAATAAGCATCAATGTGTATTGCTCTTTTGGGTATGTGTCTAATATAACTCAAAAGGTCTTGTAATTACATTCCTGCATGTTGTTGAATGATGCACCTGATGTGATGTGTACATTTTGTCAGCTTTGCTTCTCTTTTCCTATTGAATTTTAATGAGAGTAATATATAATTTAAATTCTTATGTATACCTGCATGTGTTCTTACTGTTCTCTACAGCCAAGAAAAATTTCCCTCGGGATTAATAAAGTATTATCTTATCTTATCTTATCAAAATGAAAAACTGGAGCACACAGCATTAGGAACACACTGTGGTTTTACCTTTGCAGATATGGTGGATTTACCTTCCCAAATGTAGTGAATTTACCTTAGCAGACAAGGTAGATTTTCTTCGGAAAGATACATTAAAATCTTCATTGTAAGGCATTGGATATGCCATTGAACACAATGGGCATACCTTTGCAGACAAACTAACTAGATTTACCTCTGCAGACACAGACAAGACTCACCTCTGCAAACACACAAAAGACTCACTTAGGCAGACAAACTAACTAGATTTACCTCTGCAAACACACACAAGACTCACCTTTGCAAACACACACAAGACTCACCTCTGCAGACAAACTCACTAGATTTACCTCTGCAGACACACAGAAGACTCACCTTTGCAGCAGCAGCGAGAAGAGCTCCCTCTGTGGGCTGTCCCATCAGGCCGTCATCTGTGATGTCAGCGTTGTTGCACACACATCCAACCTGCAACAACATGGGAGATGGTGCGTTACAACAAGTGTCCTAGACACCAGGACCCACTGCTTCAATTCTTCTTCTTCTTCTTCTTCTTCTTTGTCTTCTTCGTCTTCTTCGTCTTCTTCTTTTTCTTCTTCTTCTTCTTCTTCTTCTTCTTCTTCTTCTTCGTCTTCTTCTTCTTCTTCTTCTTCTTCTTCTTCTTCTTCTTCTTCTACTTCTTCTTCTTCTTCTTCTTTTACCTCCTCCTCTTCCTCTTCTGTACCAAAGCGCATATGCACACACTCACACACATGTTCATATACATTCAAATATAAACTCATATACACATACACATATAAACATACACATACACACTCTTACATATACACATGCATACACATACACTCACAAACATACATTCACACACACAATACACACACAGATACACACACACACATACACACACACGCACACAATACACTACACACACACACACAAACAACACACAATACACACACACACACACACAATACACACACATACAAACTCCATCTTACCTCCACCACCTTCCGCACAGACCTCAAGGCGTCATCGTGATCATAAAACTCTGGAGTCCGACTGATCTTCACTTGACCATCCGCCTTGTAGCCCACACCGGTCAGCTGGTCAGAATCAAGAAAAAAAAAAAGAAGTTCAATCAAACCTGCTCTTTTTTCGTTTTAGTAAGAGTTTTACGGCACTTGCAACACAATAAGGTCATATAAGTGCCGAAGATTAGAGGTGTTACGAGAGTTTTTTGTTAGTTTTAGTAGAGGTTTTACGGCGCTCGCAACTGCATAAGGTCATATGAGCACGAAAAAGAAGGAGGGGAGATAAGGGCGATAGATATTTGATAGGAAAGAAAAACCTGCTCTAACAACCACCTAGCCAAAACAATCAGACAATCGCCGGTACAAATGACCACATTCCACTTTTCCCCCTTACTTTTTTTTTTCTATATGTGTCACGACATGGTGGAATCAGGCGCTCATCAATTTTTTAGGCATGTAGAGTTATTGTGGTATCATCTTAAATCTTGTTCATTTGTTTTGCTTTCGAAAGCTGGAAAAAATACCCATGTATCTTGGATACAAGTCGAAATATTGGCGATTGAAGGAGGTGAGGGGGGTCGCCTGGTTTCAGAGAAAAAGGCCGTCAAGGTTTAGTTTATTCCTCAGATTGAGAGTCCATGGAAACTGAAAATTTACTTCTTTTTTTTTTGCCTTTAATAAACATTTTAAAGTAAAATCCACACAGAAATATTTTCTATAATGGAAATCTTTGATTACAAATGTCTTAGTATTCTGCCTTGGACAGCAGGGGAGCATTCCTATATTGAAAAGCCATTAATTTTGTTAAATATATCATCATGTTCATCTGAAACTGGTGTCAAATGAAAGGGAATTTTGTCCTCTTTTCAACTGAACCAAAATCCCAAAGTATGAAATGTGTAGCTTGTGGACTAAATTGTCAGGATTCATCATATAAATGGAGCAGAGCTCCCAAATGATTCCTGTCTGGCATGTGGCACAAGTCCTGACGACCTGCAAAACGCACTGTATGAGTGCCCGCTTAGGGAGAACAATGCGAGACCGGACCTGAATGTACTCTGGACGAGGCCACACGAGGTTGCCTCCTACCTGTCTGCCTGTGGCGAGGCCAGCCAGAGGAAGGAAAGGAGGGAAGGAAGCAGAGGGGTGGGGGTGGAAACATAGAAAATAATCTAACGTTCGTTTCAGAGCAGACAGACACACACCTCTGCATGTTGGTGATCCGAGGTGTAGATCTGTGTAACAGTCATCTCATTCCTGGTGAGGGTTCCCGTCTTGTCACAGCAGATCACATCCACGCAACCTGTGTGTGTGTATGTGTGCCATGGGAGTAATCAAGTAGGAATTAAAAAATAATCACAATAACAACAACAAAAACATTTGCGATTTCGAATAAGCTTAGCAACTGATTTTGGAGCCACATAAAACAGATTATAATTTGTCTTGTTCACCGCCAAGAGTTGAAATGAGTTTTAATAAAATGTGGGAAAAGTGAACATCTAAATTTTTAACTCAAAATTTACAAAACATAATAATATTGTCTCATACATCTTGTTTCAAGATCATTTCTATATGTAGTACAACAGGCCAAAGGGCTAGAACCCAGATGGCCGCCAGATCGAAAAAGTAAAGTAAAAGTATATGAAGTGCAAAATCTGGACAATTCTAAAAATATTTCCGGATTCATCTAGAAAATCAACACCTGTTTCCTACAATAAAGCACTATACAACAACACACCCAGGGTTTCCACCACAGGCAGCTTCTTGATGATGGCCTTCCTCTTGGCCATCCGCATCACTCCGATAGCCAAGGTCACGGTCACCACGATGGGGAGACCCTCAGGGATGGCAGCAACGGCCAGGCTGAGGATTCATTTTCATGACGCAGTTAGAATTAATATTATAAACAAAAAATAATATATAAAAATACCACTTTAACCAGGCTTGCTTACTTTCAAAATGTTTTTCTACAAGGTTATAACTTGAAATTTTCTTATCACTGTTCCTGTTTTTGAATAAAGCTTATCAGGGGAAACTTCCAATTTTGTTATTACTGTTACCGTTTTTGGTTTTTTTATTATATTCTTTTTTTAAACCCTGCAGTTAATTAGTGAGTGTGCCACATCATGTCAAAGTTAACCCTGGAACCAAAACAATTCAGGCAAGCAGAATGGCAAGCAGCAAAGTGTTTTACTGCAGAAAGGTCAGAGAAGCACATCCAACTACTGAAAAAAGCGAAGAAGAAAAAGAAGAACAAGAACACAGACAAGAGCAAGAGCAAGAACAAGAACAAGAAGAACACAAACAAGAGCAAGAGCAAGAGCAAGAACAAGAAGAACACAAACAAGAGCAAGAAGAAGAAGAAGAAGAAGAAGAAGAAGAAGAAGAAGAAGAACAACAACAACAACAACAGAACAAAAAGTGCCACCAGATGGGCTGGGACATGGTCCCTCACCTGACACCAATGGTAAACATGTCTAGAATCTTCCGCCCTTGTATCCACCCTATGATGATTATGATCCCAATGACCAGGAAGGAGTAGAAGGACAGCTGCTTGCCCAGGGTGTCCATGCTCTTCTGGAGCGGAGTCTTTGGAGCCTGCCGGACAAACCAGTTTGAGTTTGAGTAAACAGATGCATATCCACACAATAACGGCCATATAGTGCAAGTAAGAAGCAAAACAGATAGACAGAAACAACAGAGGGAAAGCACTTAAATTTGAGTAAAAAGAAGCACAGGTGGAACACATCCTAATTTTTTTTGTTTGTTTTAGTAACAGTCTTACGGCATTCGCAACACAGTAAGGTCATATAAGTGCCGAAGAGAGTAACAAACACAAAAAAGAAAGAGGAGAGATAAAGACAATAGATGTTTGATAGGAAAGAAAGAGCAAACCGCACCAGAGGACAATTGAGTTTGAGTTTAGTTCTAGCAGAGGTTCTACTGCGCTCGCAACTGCATAGAGTCATATAAGTGCCGAAGATTAGAGGTGTTACAAGAGAGAAACAAACACAAAATAGAAAGAGGGGAGACAAGGACGATAGATTGTTTGATAGGAAAGAAGAAGCAAACCGCACCAGAGGACAACCAAGTTTGAGTTTGAGTAAACAGAAGCACATCCACACAATGACGGCATATAGTACAAGGGAGAAGCAAGACAGATCGCGACCTCAAGGCTTTCTTGTCGCATCTCCATTTTTTTTAACATTGAAAATGTGACTTCTTCATAAGCTCACTCTTTGTTATGAACTGTTTTCACTGTTTAAAAAAATGGAGATATGATAAGAAAGCACAGAAACAACATAGGGAAAGCATTTCAGTTTGAGTAAAAAGAAGCACATGTGGAACACATCCTTCAGCACTGCAAGACACAAAGGGCCCGGAAACAGGAAACGTGGCCAACCACATTGAAACTACAAGACAAGCGGTATGGACCGACAGAAGGAGAATTGGGCAGGACGGCCCAGTATATAATAGATGCTAGACTTCAAGTGTGATGTGAGCGAGAAGAAGAAGAAGAAGAAGAGGAGGAGGAGGAGGAGAAGAAGAAGAAAAAGAAGAAGAAAAAGAAGAAGAAGAAGAACGATGACACAATAACAGTCATGTTGCGCAGGGAAGAAGCAAGACAGATAGACAGTAAAAACAGTGGGAAAGAAAAGACGTAGGACCTACCAGTCGCAACCTCAGTGCTTTCTTGTCTTATCTTCAAGTTTTTAACAGTGAAAATATGACACCTTCTTAAGCTCATTCTTTGTTACGAACTCTCTTCACTGTTATTAAAAATGGAGATAGGACAAGAAAGCACTGGGGTCGTGCAGAGGCGCCCTCCAACCACTCGCCCGGATAACAGAGAATAACTACATAAAACGTTGGTATCTCATCTTTGAACAAATAATAAATAATAATACATAAATAGCATTTGTACAGCACATATCAACAATCAACAGCAAGCTCTATGCGCTTTGCAATCTACAATAGGACTTGCCTGCTCTAGTCCCTTTACGTTCTAAATTAGGACTTATCAGTGATGTCCTCCAGCCAACCACTCTACTATAACCATATATTCATTTATTATTACGATGCAAGTATGTCTGAAGACAGAAAATGCTAATATATCTTTGGACCAGGTTGACTAATACATCTTGTATTTTTCAAAAGTGCAACATCAAGAGAGACAAGGAAACAGAGAGAGAGAGAGAGAGAAAGAGAGAGAGAGAGTGAGACAGAGAGAGAGAGAGAGAGAGAGAGAGAGAGAGAGAGAGAGAGAGAGAGAGAGAGAGAGAGAGAGAGAGCAGAGAGAGACCAGAGAGAGAAAGAGAAAGAGAGATAGAGAAACAGTGAGAGAGAGACAGAGAGAAACAGGGGGAGAGAGAGAGAGAAAGAGAGAGAGAGAAAATAATGATCCCATTCACCAGCGCTCCCGATATTTCCCATGAACTTGTTACTCACCTCCTCTGCCTGCATCATCTTGAAGATTTCACCAAACTCTGAGTCGTGCCCCGTGCCAATCACGATACCCTGAGGGGTGAAGACAGGGGAAGACACTCTCAGTGTAAAGACAACATTAAATTCTCTTCTTTTCTCTCCCGAAATATTCCTTTGACAATGTAAACTTGCTTCACACTCTCAACCCCTTGTCTCCTCAAATCCAACATTTATCTCAGATATCTTCTTTGTATAGACTATATCTATCTTTAGAAACACTAGAGAAGTCTTGTAAAATCTTTTTGTGATTAAAAAAGAACAATATAAAACAACTGATAAAGAGCTCAGTCAAATGAACTAATCAACACCCCAGAAAATGGGAACACTGTATTCCCAGATATGCAGAAAACAATCCTTTTAACTCTTGTCACATATTTCCCAACATAAAGACTTGACTGATGAACAAAACAGTAGGTAGTGCAAAGTCCTTCACCATCCAACAATGTATTGACTTGTAAATATTGTCCTACCTTTTCCTTGGAATTTTTAAATACTCAATAGAGGGACTGCAATGACAATTTTTCATAATTTTAGAAGCATGCTAACATCTAATTACAATACAGAGAGCTCTTTCACAGAGAGATGCCGAAATTTAAGCACAGTATGACCCCTCATTCAAATTCCTGCCGGTTTACATCAAAGGGGAATTCTTACGAAACTTAAGAGTGAAAGGAAATTCCAGACTTGGAACGTTGCCCACCTTGCCAATGCCACACCGGACCAGCGTGCCCATGAAGGCGATGTTTTTGCGACCACTCAGATTGGTCACCAGGGGGCTGGGCTGAGAGTCGATGCATTTGGAGACCGGCTCTATCTCGCCGGTGAAGCTGGACTCGTCGATGCTCAGTCCTGAAGCCTGAGTAGACGACAGAACAAAAGATTAAAGACACCGCTACTTTGCCGCAGCTAACACACAGCCAGGGAGCACCTAAAAGAATTGTACAACTTTACGGAATTTTTAAAAAAAATAGTAATTCCAAAATAAAAACTAGCATAGGCTTCCATTAAAATGCTTTACCAAAAAAAAACCCATTAAACTGCTTTACAAAAAAAAAAAAAAAAAACATTATAATGCAGTACAAAAAACAACAACTATTATTGCTGTCAGAGTAAAAATTATCAATTTAAATTGACCAGGCTTTACAGGGTGATTTTTTAAGAAGTTTTCAAAATCACTCTTTCTTCGACAGCAAGAATATCCAAAGTAATTGAAGCTCTGAGGGTAAAGCTAGCAATCAAAGAAGCAATAACCTAAAATGAACAAGATAGAAACCTACGATAAAATAACTAATAATAATTATAATACAGTTAATTAAAAATATAGAGTATCCAAGTCTAAGGAGGGCTCAAGGGTTACATATTTCTTTTGCCAAATATAATTAAAAGACAGTTGAGTCATTAACTGTAACTTACTTTGACACAGCTGGTGCTTCAAGCAGATATTTTGACGGAGAATGAAAAGGAAGGCGAACATAAAGAGAGCAATTTTAACAACTTTTTACCCTGAATCTCTCATCATTGTGCACATCACTATCTTAGTCTTATAGCAAAGGAGCATTAATGTTGTCTCAGGGGTGACTCTGTATTCTAAAATTTCACACAAATACAGTCTAACCTGTTCCAACGGCCACACCTGTCCAAGACAATCACCTGAACAAAAAACCACTTCCCACTACCCCCCTTGCGTTTTTTAAAAATACTTTAACGACATTGCCCAAGATGTCCACCTGTCTTAGACGCCATATGTGGAGCAGCGTGGTGGAATCAGGCTCTCGTCAAAATAATCAAAGTGAAGAAACTTGCATTTTTTCCGCAGTTTTGTGAATTTTTATCAAATTTTTGTTTTTTGATTCAACACCTTTCATGCCCATTAAAGAACTCATTTCTGTGTGGATTTTTCTGCTCAAAAAACATAAATTTTCAGTTACCACGAACTCTTAATCTAAGGAAATAACTAACCTTTGACTGCCATTTTCTCACTAATTTTACCTCTGAAAACAGGTGACCCCCACCTCCTTCTTTCGCAAATATTTTGACTTGTATTCAAGATAACTTGATATTTTTTTTATCCAAATAAAGACAAGTGAACAAGCTTTAAAATGACACCAATAACTTTCCATGCCCAAAAACTGACGAGAGCCTGATTCCACCACGCTGCCTCACATATATCTTTCTCCTCGACAACAGGTGGTCATTATAGACAATTTGAACAGAACAACATTCTGACCCACCTCAAAGAGGCGGACATCTGCAGGAACTCTGTCCCCGATGCTGATGTGAATTATGTCCCCTGGCACTAAGTCCTGGGCCAGGAAAGTCGACAAATGCCCATCCCGGACGCTGAAACAGATGGGAGAGAAAAAAATATATATATTTCCAGTGACTAAATTACCTTAAATAAAATAAGAACACGGATATCCAATTTTTAAAAAGCAAAAAAAAAAAAAAGAAAACTTTGAAACTAGTTTGAAAGATGCATAAAAAACTTTCTGCAACAACACTTCCAAAAGAAGTTTCTCAAATATTATATTCCTCTCACCGAAAACAGCATAGCGAAACTATTTTGGATTTGTTTGTTTTTTGGGGGGGTTTTTTGCTTGTTTGTTTATTGTTGTTTTAGGTTGGGTTGGGTTTTTTCCTTGTTTTTTTTTTTTTGCTGTTGTTTTTTTTTGGAGGGGGGGGCTGCACTTCTTAATCAGACACTAAAACAAGAGTTAAAAATAGAAATGTCTATTTACCATGCATATAAAGAAAAAAACAACAATCCATCAAAATGTACACAGAATACTCTATAAAACTCCTAAAGGCATTCCATGTGAATCATTACTTTTTTTCAATACATAAATCTTCAGCACATATTCTTATTCCCTATTTTCCTTTCTGGAAGAAAATTTCTATTTTAAAAAAGCGCGAACGCATTACAAAACCCTCCCTTATGCTACATAACAACATCAAGAATCGGCTCAACAAAGTGGCGTAACTCCCAACACGTACTTACCAGTGACACTTGGGCGGGACAAGCTTGGTGAGAGCTTCCAGTGACTTCTCTGATCTGTACTCCTAGACAAAAATAAGAGATAGCATTTGTAAAGCGCATACTCCCGCTCAACAGCAAGCTCTTTGCACTTTATAATCTATATTATTACCCAAGCAGACCCAATAGCATTTTTAAACAATCTCAACTTCCTAGGAAGCATACAGTACACTGCAAGCTGCCGTTTATTGGCGTTAAAGCACTCACATACTGACAAGATCTTTCGCTGTACCCATTCCCACCTGGGTGAAGTAAGGATAATTCGTGTAAAGTGCCTTTCCCAAGGACACAACGTCAGGCCTGCGGCTCAAATCCCCAAATCTGCAACCTTTCGATTACAAGTTCAGTAACCAAACACTAAATTACAGAAGGTTACACAAACATTCAAAACAAAAAAACACATAAGTTTAATCTTCATCAGCTACTCATTTCTTATGACAACATTCAAAGTCCCCTCCTTTCCCCACACACACGTAAGTTATTGATTAGCCCCTCCCATTGATCGCTTCCCCTAACAATGAAATTTAATGATCGCTCTAGCATGCACACTCATAAATTAAGTTATTTGAAATATATATATAGATTTATGACCATACTGTCTCCAACAAAGCTGGATATAGAAAGAAAAAACTTTCAAAGAGACAAGGGGCAAAAATAGCTCGCACAGGGTCCTTGCAAGCCTTTGACAACTCCAAACATTAAAGGGAAATGGAAGATGACGGCTTGGCAAATGTAACCAATACACCATACCAAGAGGTTTCTGCGATTATCAAGCCAACAGAATACTTGAACAGGTAAAATATAGAAAGGGGATAACATATGTCCCAATCCAAGCTTAAGTGCACAGTAGACTACCTTTTAATGAAATAATTTTGATAAAAGAAAGCAAACTTACACAGAATCGGAGCATACACAAAAAAGAAGAAGAAAAAAGCAAATCTGAAGACATTGACTGATCTAACCCTCTCTTCAAGATACGAAACAAAATGGAGAAGTAAATCAAATAAACGCATGTTTTTTTTTACAAAAATATTATATCTACCTAAAAAAAAAAAAAAACTCAACTATAGGGAGCACCTACACAAAAATAACATTCACACTGACTCAAGGAGTAATCAAAATGTTCCCTAGCTTGCTAGTCAAAAATGCCAGGAAACATGCCACACAATAATTACTTTAAAAAAAATTCTACTTATAAAAATATTTTAATGGAAAAAGAAAAAAAAGCACTTACTTGAACAAAGGCAACAGTGACCACAATGATGATAGCCTGCAAAACAAGACAAAGTATAAGTATATACTTCTACAACCATTTTCATCTCTCAGTGTCCAATAGGTAAAATATCTAAGTAGCAAAACATAATATAGATATATAGAAAAATACTGCAAAAAGCCAAGACTCTTCCAGCCCCTCGCACATGTGAATTATACTCTCTGCTGCAAGACATTGATATCGAGCCCTGATCTTATCCAGATGGTAACATTAACAGAATTTTTTTTTTCACAAACTGAAATTCTTTCACCACCTATCATAATAGGCATCTGCATATATGGATAAATATCTATTCAAGTCGGCCAAAAAAGCATATTATATCTGGACACTTACAATTATTGACACATAAGGACTTTTATTATATTTACTGCCAGAGACTGTACCAGAAAATAACATCATGATATATAAGATGAACCTGACCATGCACTGGCAAATAATACAATGAAATACTTCAACACAGAATCAGAAATAATACTTTGTTAAGAAATATAAAATAATGACCTAATCTCCTGAAGGAAGTCCACGTCAATCTCATCGACTACTTCAAATCTTTTTTTAAAAAAGCTCATCCTTTCTCAAACTTGTGAACTCACCACTGTGATGCTGATGGCATCATCAAACTGCTTCATGAACAGACTCACAGCAGCAGACGCCAGCAACAGAAGAATCAAAGGGTTGTTGAACTAAAGGGGAAAAAAAGAATTCATCGAGTCATGGAGTTTTTAACAGATAAAAGAAAAAAACAATCAATATATGAAATGATTGAACATGATGTTTTTAGTTGAACACCTTCATCGACACAAATTTGACAGTTAAAGAGGCAAGATGTTTTGACATTGGCCAACATAGGCTATAATGGCAGAATGCTAGCAGAGAGAGGAAGATTACGGTCACTTTTAGGTGCCACAAGTAAACACTAATGTGAGCAAGACATAAAGCATACTTTCATACATTACCACATACGCCGTTGAAAACAACTGAGGAAAACTGTAATACGAGATAATTAATAACCGAAATATAAACTTAAAAGATTCATGCATATCTATCATGAAATTCGACATTTTATTAAAGGCCTATGGCATCTTCTGTATTCTACAACTCATAAATTTAAATGTCACTCAGAGGTATGACATTAACATGTCAATGACCCAGTCCACACAATTCATGGTATATTCACGGATAACATATGAATACCTGATCAAGATATTTCTTCCATAAAGGTTCCTCCTTGGTTATGTCAAAGTTATTTGGCCCGTGTACCAAAAGACGACGCCTGGCCTCATCACTACGAAGACCATGATCCAGATCCGTGCGGCACATGTCCTGCACTTCCCGCACTGTCATGGCAGACGCTTCGCTCGACTTGAGCTGAGACATCATGGCAACCAAACGCCACCAACAGTCTGGAAACACGAGATAGAGTCATCAGCATCAAAACTTGTGAAGTGAAAAAAGTTTCAAAAGTTAGCAATGCAACAACTAGCATTGTACAACTTAGTATTGTATCATGAAGAGCACAATTTGCTCACAAAGACTCGAACTGCAAAAATAATAAGTGAGGAAGGGTGGTGAAATCTTCCATGTCTATTATAGAAAATATTTCTGTGTGGATTGTACTAAAAACGTCATATAAAGGCATAAAAAATGTACAGTACACTGTCTGTTTCCACTGACTCTCAAGCTAAGGAAATGACTAAACTTTGGAGGCCATTTTCTCGCTAATTTTACCTCAGAGACCAGGCGACCCCCACCGCCTTCAATCGTATCTCAACTTGTATTCATAATAAATGGATTTTTTTCATCGAAAGTAAGACTAACGAAAAAGCTTTTTGATGATACCAATAACTCCACATGCCCGAAAATTGACGAGCACCTGATTCCACCGCGTCGTGACACATCACATTTAAAGTTGGTTTTCATGGGACTGGGGTTAAATGTCAGATCTAAACTTAGATTATAAAATCTCCCTAAAGAGGAGTATTATAAACTCAACAAAGGGTATAGTATGTGAAATGGTATAGGAGCCATTGCCAAAACGTGGGGAAAAACACACACATCTCACAATAGAGTGCATAAAATGTGATGCATTAGTATTTATTCCTCCCAAACTTATACACATGTCAAATATAGGATGTAGAACCTGCATTAGCAGTTTCAGACCCCCCCATGTCAGCTTTATAATCTTGCATTTGTAAATTTTGTGCCAAAAATGTCCGTTTTTTAGTGATTCCTGGAGTGTCATTTTGAGCACACCAATGCAAACTTCCAAGAATGTCAAAAATTTAGTATTTTTGGGTGTTTTTTTTTAACCTGTGCTTTGATTCTATGCTATTTGTGATCGAGAAAGGTTCACTTGCTCAAGAAATCGGTTTATTTGTTTGCAAATAAACGAATATTTCGGATCACTTGTGCGTCAGGGGTGTCGTCACGGACTAGGTGTTTCAGAAAACACCCATTATTTTTCAGTAGAATCACCACAGCTGGTTAAATTTTTTTGCTTTTCGTCGTTTATTCAATAGTTCAAAAGCCGCGATGCGCGAAAGGAACATCGGGTTCCTAGATCTACGATTTCGGTCGGCTGTTTAACATTCGCCGTTAATGGCGTCACTTTGCGACGTACCGGAAGTCCGAATTTTAGCCTACTTTTGTTTTGAACGGATCATCAACAGTGCCCGGATATAATTGTTTTCTTGAGTGACTTTCCCTTACCCGCTTCCCCAGAACAGCGGGAGCAACGGGGTAAAGGGAAAAACGAAAGTAATCATTGCCGTCACCCTCCGGTTACGCACAAGAATCTTGCATTGAATGTGACGTACTCGACTGTTTTGCGTGTTTTTAGGCTACCCTATTGAATATTTTAGTGAAATTGTGGTGTTTACATTGGATTCCTGGAACAAGAGAGTGATATGTGAACAAACTTCGAGAGATGGATCATTTCTGTGGTTATAGATTTAGCTTTTGTGCTTAGTGATGACGTTTGGGGTGTCGTCATGCAGCCATTCAAGACTGACCGACGTACTAGAAATTACATTGTCCAAGAGCAAACATTATTTAAGTCATGTGTGCTCTTTTTACTCAAACAAATAGACAAACATGTCCTTGTTTATCTGTCTAACTCAAAAGTACACATTTGTTCTTTGTTGGCATGATATGCCTTTTTCCAATACATTGTGTCATTGTGTCATCATTGTTATGTACAAGTAATATTTTTCATAATTGCTAATATCAATAAGTTTTCAACATATATTTCATACATATGCAAGATTCATTTAGAAACAAAATACGCCTTTATTGATCTGTGTGATCTCATAGTGCAAATTTGTTCTTTGTAGGCATGATTTTACCTTTTCCCAGTATGTTTTGTCATCACTGTTATGTACGAGTACTCTTTGTCATAATAAGCAACGTAATTGTGATTGTCTACTGTCTTTGATATGACCTGGTATCTCTTTCAAAGCAAAAGAAACCTCCCTTGGGTTTTTTTATTCTTAAAGTGCGCTTTTCTCTCTGGAGACAAGACTTTTGTCTTTTCCTGTACATTGTGTCATCATTGTTATGTACAAGTCATGTTTGTCATCACTGTTATGTACAGGTCAGCTCAATTGATTTTGTGCTTTTGCCTCATTTTAGTTTAAAAATTGTTTTACACATGTGTTCTTCTGGTACTGAGGCTTTGATAACTGTATTTGTACAGCCTTTCACTATTGTGATGTGTTGTCAATGATAATGTCCAATGTGTATCCTTTCTTGTACATAACAATGATGACATGTTCTGTGCACTGCGTTATTGTTACAAAGCTTGTCATTCATATTACCATTATGAATGGAGTTCATAGTGTACGAAGTCTATGTTTACTAAACAAATGGAATTTAAAGTCCATAATTGGCCTTGCTGCTTATATATCTGTTTTTGTCATCACTGTTACATACAAGAAATACAGTAGTTGCCAAACCAATAGACCCATATCTCCAAAACAGTACGTCTCCTTGCTCTGATACTCTAGGAATATGAGCACTAAATGTCAATCTGTGACTGACAGAAAAGAGAGTCAAATTGGTAAGAAAATTTTTTTTGCACCACTGAGTCTCAAGAGAGTCTCACGTTTTGGCAATTGCTCATAGAGGTTCAACATCAATATCTATCAATACTACAAGATTGTTTAAGGTGGAATCTCCAAGTTTAACGCCCATCTCCGAAAGGAACAAACCAAATAGATTCATGAAGAGTGCCCTTCCCAAGGCTTCGACATAACGTCGGACCCAGCTACGGTTCAAATCCTCGAACCCCCAACCTCACAATTACCAGTCTGTTAGCCTAGCCTCTGGGCTACAGCACCACTAATCATATGGAAATTTTTACGAGAAATAGCATCTCTATCTTAAGATCTAGGACTTGATCTTTAAGATGCAGGAACCATCACCACCCACGGCCCTTTTTCTTCAACTCACAGACTACTAACAACACTGCATCAGTAGACCCCAGACAGTATAATATAAAAGAAACCTTGAACCTGGACCCCTGTTTCCCTTTCTTTACTGTTTTAACACTCTTTACCGACTGTTAACAGAATTCGGCGGTTGCACCTCTTGATCCATTGCTTTTTTTTTATGAGTTACAAGATTAAAAGTATAGGATGTGTATTTTTTTAAACCTAGCACAGTATTTTGCAATTTTACACTGTACTTAAAATCACCCAGCCTCTAAATGAAAATTAATTTGTGAGACAGCACATTGAAATCAGGCGCTCGTCAAAATCATGAAATAGAAGAAGAAAATGGCATTTTCCACTGGTTAGGCAATTTTTATAGAATTTTTGTTTTTTGGCTTAATTAAAACACTTTGCCCCCACGGGATGCAGTGTGAGTATAGCATGTACCGCGTTTGTATCCTGATCCGTGGGGAAAAGTGTTGCGCGCTCTACGGGCTGCATGGGTGGAAAGTGTTACAATACCTTTTTATTATGTCTATTTAAAAACACATTTCAGTGTGGGATTTACTATCAAGAACGTTGATCAAAGGCACATATATATATAAATATATATAATAATGCAAATTTGCAGTTTTCAAGGACTCTCAAGGTTTGGAAGTTACCAAACTTTGGAAGCCATTTTCTCGCTATTTTTACCTCTGAAACCAGGTGACCCCTACCTCCTTCAATAAGTGTTAGAGTCTGAATTAACCTCCCGTGGCTATTCGGACTCAAACTTCAATATAAGGCATGCTGGAATTGATCATGTCTTTCATTGATTTCAGCATGACTTACTTATTTGTCGATGATTGTCCAAACTGACTCTTCTGCTGTCATTTTAATATTGTTTTAAATTTAATTTGCATTTTATTTATCCCCCAAATATTACAATTTTTATGACTTTACCAACACTTTGAGGTGATACCCCTGCTTCAAACTGTCGAAGGATTGTTACTTGTCTAACACATGAAAGTATTGCTTTACCCTGATTTAATTTGAATGTCATGTAAAGTATGCTGTTGGAAAAGCTTTTCCTTTAGACCACTGTTACTTTGTTTGAATGACGGACCTTTGTTCCTTTTGGAAGGGTCGTAACTTTTTTCTTTTTAATTTTTAATTGGACTTCCAACTGGTCAATGATTTTGTCTTTCTCGTCAAATTACTGGGTTCATACTACCTATTGATAGATAACCCTGTCTTGTTCTGAAACTTTGATTTTCAATTTTTTAATGCTTTCAGCTCAGATTGCTGTCCCTGTTTGCTTTTGTTGTGTAGTACTTCAGATTTTGCAACTGTTGTTCACTTTTGACGTCACAGTTATACTTTTCTTAATTTATGTCGAAAGTTTTGGCCAGATCATAAAAACCAAAGAAGGCCAAGGTCGAATTTCCTGTCTGCTTAACATCCAGTAGCCTACATCTACACCCGATGATTACGCACGCACATTGGAGTTTGAGTCTGAATAGCCACGGTGGGCTATTCAAATTTCAGACTCGAGTCCGAATAGATGTCTATAATAGAAACAAAAGTAGGACGCATGATATTCAATATGTCAAGGATAATCTGTTTTCCCCTCATTCTAAAACACAACTTAAAAAATAAAGAAAAATAATTTCATAATGAAAATCATCATAATTCACAAACTTGACAAGTCAAACGTCTACTCCGATATATCTAGATCTAGATCTAGAAGTTCAACAATGAAAGTTCTAAAACACCACTAAATTGCCTGAAGCTGGGGTTAAATTAGGATTTCAACTCCTGGCAGTCAGGGAGTTAAAAACTGACACACCTTACCTTACTAAACTAAGACTTGGCCGTGAAAAGCACCGAGTGCGTCGCAGGTCGCAGTCAGTCAGAGTCGGCGGGGGTGTGTGTTGATGTTGTTTTGTTTTAACCGTTGTAAAAGTGTGGGCCTCCTCCAACGTTTTTTCTCAAGGTTGACCTCACATGAAGAAATTACAAGGAAAGCTCAGTTCATTTTAAATTTGGTTTCATCGACCATGATCCAGCTTCTGAACAAGTGTTTCACTAGTGAAGATTGTTGGAGTTTTATTGTTGGCTGACTTGGATGTTGGCATGAAGCTGCTTTCGATTTCTAAACTAAAAGAGTTCCATTTCCGGTTTCTAATTGAAAGAGGAAGTTTTGTCTGAGACAACGATTTTCACCACTTAGGTGTATAATCAAAGGGGAACAACCGCACCGGACAGGCATAGACCAGAAGTAGCCTGTATCCTGTACTGTATAATTTTAATCATAAAACTGAAAACTACGGGGTTTTATTTACCATTTGATTGGTAACTATTGTCTTGCCTACGAGGCATCTTTGGAATATACCTACTGCAACTGTATCTAGCCGAAATACGACGACTACATGTGCATTCATGGTTTTCTCTCTCTCTCTCTCTCTCTCTCTCTCTCTCTCTCTCTCTCTCTCTCTCTCTCTCTCTCTCTCTCCCTCCCTCTCTCTCTCTCTCTTTCTCTCTCTCTCTCTCTTTCTTTTTTTTCTCTCTCTCTATCTCTCCCCCCCCTCCTCTCTCCCTCCCTCTCTCTCTCTCTCTCTCTCTCTCTCTCTCTCTCTCTCTCTCTCTCTCTCTCTCTCTCTCTCTCTCTCTCTCTCTCTCTCTCTCCCCCCCTCTCTCTCTCTCTCTCTCTCTGATCTCTCTCTCTCTCTCTATCTCTCTGATCTCTCTCTCTCTCTCTCACTTTGGGTGTGTAATTGGGGAGAGGGTTGACTCAATAAAGATTAGGCTATCTGTCTCAGAAATCTGGGCAAGAGAGATTTTTCAGCAGTCAACTGAAACGTTTGCGTTGCCATTGAAGCGCTATCAAAGGGATGCTAGATTCCTCTTGTCGATTAAATGAACATAGACAATCCGCTGGTCTAACTCACTTTGACTCAAAGTACCATTGCAATCCCGTAGGCCTACTGGGAATTGATGGCGCTGTGAATTGGGAAACCCCCGAAGAGATTATAAATACAATTCTATTACTTTAGGGTTATTGGTAACTCCGGACATGGCAATTGGACCAGCTTGCAGCTGGAAAACAGAACGGACGTTCAGTAACGCTGTCTACATCGTCGAAATAGTCGGAACAGATAAATTGTAGTTATCATCGACGCGTTCACCATTAGAAAATGAGAAAGTAAAAACAATAATAATATGGAGTAAATCATTATTATTATTATTATTATTATTATTATTATTATTATGATGATGATGATGATGATTATTATTATTATTATTATTATTATTATTATTATTATTATTATTATTATTATTACTATTATTACATTAGCCTAATGTATCTATCACAAGTAGTGAGTACCAACGGGACATAAGCAGCTAGCTCGTTAGGCCTACACTCAGAGATGAAATTATGGACCATCAGGTTGTCCTCTCTTTTTCAGTCTTATTATATATGTTCCAGCTTTCAGAATAAGCATGAGACAAGGAGGTTTTAAACTATATCCTAAAGTCCGAGGAACCCCTGCTGGTGGGAGGCCCCGGGAGCAGTGTCGTAAGTGTCGACTAAAGGTGCAAAGGTCTGGTCGCCCGAAAAGTGCCAGTTTGCGGAGGGCCAACTACCCGACCCAGTAAAAAACAGTCAGTTACAAAAACACGGACAAACACAGCTTTTTATTTTTCGATATTGGGAGACGGGGGAGTTTCTGCATCAGGAGGAACAATGAAGGACAGCGGACAAAGGAAGAAAAGTGGGAAGACACGGAATAACATCAAGAGGCTTGCCCATGCCCAGGATCGAGAAAGGTGGAAGGTGTTTGTCTGTGGCCTATACCCTGGTGCAGGGCGAGAAAGACAATGATGAAGATGATGATGAAGGTCCGTGGAATGAGGGGATAGGGAAAACTACCTTCACCACTGTAAAGTTCTACGGAAACACTGCACGGCCATGTGTGTTGAGGAGCTTCTTTGAATGCCCGCCCGCACGCACGCACGCATGCACGCACGCACGCACAAGCAACATACACACGCAACATACACACACATACACTCATATACACACACATACACACACAAACACACATACACACACACATACATACATACATACACACACAAACATACATAGATCTACATACACACACATACACACACACACACACACACACACACACACACACACACACACACACACACATACACACACGGTGTCCCATGGACACGATTTCAATCATCTCGGACGAGCAGCTTTGATCTTGCCCTTCCATTTTTAGTAAGAGTTTTACGGCACTTGAAACACCACTAAGGTCATGTAAGTGCCGGTGTTACAAGAGAGTAACAAACACAAAGAAAGGGGGAGAAATAAGGACAATGGATTTTTTATAGGAAAGAAGGAGCAGACCATACCAGAGCACCCGTCATCAACCATCCACTTTCTATCCTTCAGGATCCAGCTTCCAACTTCCAAGCCCCCAGGCAAAGATACTTATTGATGACATAACATCCCAACACAGGAATTGATCTCACTACATCTGCTTAGTTAGTTTTTGTTTTAGTAATAGTCTATGGCTTACGACGCTCGTAATTTACTGCATAAGGTCATATTATGAGCGTCAAGGGGTGGATGTCAACAAAGAAGTCCAAACGGGGAATCAGGCTTACTCTGCTCACCTCTCTAGCCTCAACAGCACAAGGTCTGCTTCAACTACATGTATCAAGGCACCCCGGATATAGCCGTTCACAAGAGTGACAAACATACAAAAGAAGTAGAGGAAAAATGACGATAGTAAGGATGAAAAAAAGCAGTAATTCCCTCTATGTTGTTCGCGCACAGTATGAGCATGGCATTGATAAATCAACCTATTTACTATTCTACGGGGCATAAGAACGCCCTGTGCTAACACCCCTCACCCCTCCTTTTGGGAATGGCCTAAAAACACTTCAGTCAGTGGCACTGCGCTGGGAGGAAAGGGGGGGGGGGGGGTTACCTCATCTGCATGAAACAGGAAAGCCTAATAATAATGATAATAAATAGCATTTGTATAGCGCATATCCCCGCTCAACAGCAGACTCTATGCGCTTTACACTATATTATTACCCCAGCAGACCACAGAACACTTCGAAACATTCTCAGCTTCTCGGGAAGCATACAGTGCAAGCAGCTGATTAAGCGCTCAAACGCTAACAAACTGACAAGATCGTTCGCTGTAACCTAACCACTGTCCAAAAAACATTGGAGTCATTTTCTGAGTATGAGAGTTCAAAGACTTTTTAAAAGTGTTAGTAAAAGTTTAACGGCTCTTGCAATACAACAAGTTCAAGCAAGTGCCGAAGATTAGAGGTGTTGCAAGAGAGTAACAACCTCTCCTCCCCCCCCCCTCCTTAAAAAAAGAGAGATCAGGACGATATTATATGTTTGATAGGAAAGAAGGAGCAAACCACACCAGAGCACCCGCCAAACTCCCACCGATTAAATAGTGAAGAATACAGATCTATGTTTGTTTCACAATAAAACGGTGTGTCAAGTGCCCACCACCTGACCCTCCTCCAAACTGCTGGACTCACTGCCGACACTGACAGACGACTGTTTCTTCCCGAGACACACACCGGCACCAGTGGAAGGAAAAAGTAAAACTTGAAGTAAAACGAAGTCCCCAAAGTGAAATAACACCAAATATCCTGATCTCTGATAGGAAAAAGTAGGACTGTGTCCTTAAACTAAGACTCAACAGATAGTCAAACTGGACAGGCATCTTGACCTGCGTACCTGTGCCTGTTTTGGTAAGAATTTACGGCACTTGCAACACAATAAGGTCGTGTAAGTGCTGACGAGTCAAGGTGGTACTAGAGAAGAGAGTAACATGAAAAAAAAAAAAAAGAAGAAGAAAAGAGGAGAGATAAAGACCATAGATGTTTGATGGAAAAGAAGAAGCAAACCACAGCAGAACACCCGCCAACCGCCTGTGGGTATTCTGTCAGAACCATCAAAACCCACTGAGTGCATTTTAAAAAAAAGTGTTTTACGGCGCTCGGAGCTGCAAAAGGTCATAATATGAGTATGAGTGCTGGGGATACATTTAACATTTTCAGTTGGTGGGAAATTTTGAATTTTGCCCGGGTGGCGGCCGAAGCTTTCTTTTATCGAGTTTAGACCACTGGGAGATCTTTAACGCGCGCAACTTGCACACGGGCCATCCGATATTATTCGCGCTTATCCAAGAAAGTTAGGGGTAGATCTTACCATAAGATCAAGGGTGTGGCTGAAAAAACAGCAGTAAGTAGGAGCCAAGGAGTAGCAGTAGCAAGGCCGCAGAAAGAGTCAGGAGCCCAGAGAAGGGGGCAAAGGAGGTGATGGGGCGGGGTCGAAAGTGTTAGTTTAGTAAAAGTTTTACGGCACCTGCAACACAATAAGGTCATATAAGTGCCCAAGATTAGAGGTGTTACAAGAGAGTAACAAACACAAAAAAGAAGGAGGGGAGATAGAGAGGATAGATTTTTTATTGGAAAGAAGGAGCAAACCACACCAGAGCACCCGTCAACTACCCACGGTCAGAAAGTGGAGACGAAAGCAGGCGACAGAACATCGTTAAAGAGCAGGAAAGGATGTGAAAGGAGAAAATTTTAGATAGGAAAATTTTCCATCGCTATCTGGATTCGAACCCGGAACCTATTGAATGAGAGGCGAACACCTTAACCTCTAGACCACGAGAGCCCCCTGGGTAGCTTCTTGCATCCACCAACATTACTGATCAAAAATTAAAAGATCCAACAGAATCATGGCATATAAAGTGGAAAAAACCCAACAACAACGAAAACACTAAACGAAAGTAAAGTCTACTAAAATGTTTCAGAATCTTTTATTTGCATCAGTTTAGAAAAACACTTTTTTTTTTTTTACAGTTGACATGACAAAGAACAGTACAAACAGCAGTACTTTTCACAACACTCAGAAACACTCTCACTGACTCACATTCTCTTGACGCATTTCTGTATCAGAAGGCACACAAAAGTAGAAGATCTCAAATAATTCTTTAGTAGGCAGACACCCATGAATACCATTTTTGTAAAGATGTTTAAATTTACAAAATCCTGTCAGTAAAATGACTCTTTCTCAGTTAAACATTCAGAAATCATTTCTGCAATAGTTTCAAGCCACAATCACCATATCATTAGTCAGATGTTCAGATGCAATAAGCCCAAAATTTTGAAACACTGTTTATTGCGGTTTCTTGATCACTGGATCTGTAATCAATTGTATGTGCTTAAAATTCTTTAATCAAAATTCTAATCCTAGAAGTTGAAAAAAATACAAGAAAATCTATATAATGAGGGTACAATTTTCAAAAGAAAGAATGAAACAGTTTTTTTTCTTCTCTCTCCTAATAAGACTTTGCTTTATGAGCTTACAACATCTAAACAGCTTGCCGATGATATTGTCTTCCAAGCAGAGAACTGACCACAGTGCCCAAGCAGCAAATTTACAAACTGGTATACGGTATATGCTAAACTGACATCTAAAAAAAATCGTTTTTCAAACGTCAAAGAAAAACAGACATGATAAGAAACAAAGGTACAAATACTATGATAGACTGAAAATAATCAAATAGCTCATTAACACAATCTAGATTCTTTTAGCAGGGAGGCTGCTTAGATTCTGCCTGCCAGGGCTGGCTGCCCAGGCTATGTGGGATACAGTACTTTAACATAAAGACATATAAACACATTTACCTGATTAAAACAACTTCTTCAAAAAGGAAAACAACTCACTGACGTCTCTCTCGTGCAACAGAGGAGAGCCTTACCATTACACCACAGATGCTAGTTACGACTACGGTACCATACACTTACATCTACAGTTGAACCTGCCTTAACCATCAATGCTATTAATAGTACTAGCCACAGTTCTGTGATACCAGAGAGCTTAGAACTACAATATGCAGACTCTCTGGTGATACCCTTGCATTTTTGTCCTCAATTTTTAACCTGCCCGTGGTGGTCCCTGCCCAACGCCGCCACAGCCAGTCATTTTGTAACAAGTCTACCTTAACACTTTGTGGTCACTTGGTGCAATAATGCCGTGGTGAAAATTATCCATTCCAGTCACCTAGGCCTGACAAGTCAGTTGCAGTCACTCTCCTGGTGGCTGGGTGACTGCAAAGTGTTAACACTTGCCCATCATAGCAATCACTTGTTACAAAAGTTTTCCACCGACCCATCCTCAGACCGAGTGTATACCAATGCAAAGCAGCTATCATGATAGTTATCGATTTTGATGAAAATAAAATGTAAAGACGAAATAAAATTTTCCCAATTTTTAATTATCCCTGGACTTTATCAGTCTAGTAAGTGACAATAACACAGAACCTGTCTAAGGCAGCCACCTGTCTACAACGGTCACTTTCTCTGTGATCTTAAGAGACTGTTATGGAGGAAAGGTTCGGCTGTACTTGTATTGGTATAATAAAACAGCTAAGTAAAGCCAAAATCATTGGGTCTAAACTGAGACCCCATAAAATTAATATTTCTACGGCCCTTCTGCCGTGCACAACTTTTCTTTTATGAACTCGATAAAATTGAAGAAACACTCTTAGGATACAGAGGCTATTCCACCTTTACCTACAACTCCGCCCATATTAAACTTATTTACGAGAAATAAATACACCAACAAAATCTGGGTAGAAATACATGATCCATGTAATAACCTACAGTTTGATTATAGATATGATGGATTTGCTGGGGTTTCGTAGATTTTAATTCTGACTGTATATCATGTAAACAATTGAAAGATGCCATTCACCAGCTGAACTGGAGTGCAGTATATTTTTAGTTCAGCCATGATCCCGGTGCTAACAGTCAGAAAAGATCCACACTGAAGGCCAAACTGAAAATATCCCACTGAGAGTATAAAAAATAACTTTAACTTTAAAAAAAACCCCACCTCTTCTACTAGCAGGCAGCTATCTATATTGATCTCATTCAATGTTTCTACCTAAGCTTTTAACTGAAGTAGAGATATTAACACACCAATGGTTACCGGTTATATCGTGACCAAAAAAATAATTCATAAGACAGCTACAAATTACATTTTTCAAAAGTAGTAAGCTAACTGGTAATAGCAATTAAAACATAATCTTACGGTAACATTGGTATTATACATGTCAATCTTTTTCTGCGTTCAAAGCAATTGACAAAATGTGCACAAATGTGGAAAAAATTTGAGTCATACAGCTCACTCAAAGCAGACATAAAAACAAAACATACAACACATGCAAGACCATTTACAACAGACCACATAAACTGAAACTATTTCTTTTTAGTACAGAAGAAAAATGATGAGAGACTTGAATATCAAGTTTTATTCCCAACCTCAAACAGCGTCTGGTTTCAAATACATACGATGAAAGACTTGTACACAAAATAAGCCCTGGTATCATTTCAGTCAGTGCCTAAACACTACACACGGCGGCATCTCCACAGCTCTGAACAAGATTTTAGGCACGCAATCCTGGCATCGAATATAAAAGAAAGAATAAGCACATAAATTTTTAAGAATTATGAAATGTGATACAAATACAGCAATGTTCATGACAAAACGAGATAAACTGTAAAAATGATAAACAGTTCTATCATGAGGTAATGCTTGATTTTACTTTAAGCACATACTAATTCTAAGGGAAGGAAATGTAAGACTACACATAACATATATATCTCAAGGACATAACAGCTAAAACCTGATCTATTATGACAGATGTATGTACGACCCCATCGACACAATTTTGAACATTTAGGAGGCAAGCTTTGACCCTGCCTGTCAGGGCCAACACGGGCTGAGAGGGAAACAACACCCCAACAGAATGACCCAGGATACTCGATAAAAGTTCTCCCAACATGGGATTTGAACTCAGGTCTTCTGTGTGCAACAGCAAAGCGCCCAACTGCTACACCACAGACACTGGTTCATGAACTCTAAACAACAGAAGCAACCAGTAAATGACTCAACAACAGAGTTGTTTTTTAATAGAGGTTTTACGGCACTCGCAACTGCATAAGGTCATATGAGCGCCAGAAGATTAGAGGTGTTACAAGAGAGTAACAGACATAAAAAAGAAGAAGGGTAGATAAGGACAATAGATGTTTGATAGGAAAGAAGAAGCAAATCACACCAGAGCACCCACCAACCACCCACCAACAGAGTTGAACTTTTAAAAGTGAACCTACGAGACTGCCAGGCAACGGTTTCTAATTTTGGGCACTTTGCAAGAACAGAACCAAAACCAAAGGGAAAACCATCACATGCACTTGTAATCTCATCTATGAATTGCTATTTTTCAGAGAAATGCACTCGAACCTGCTCGAACGACCACCTATCTAAGACAATCACCTGCACAAACGTGCACCTATCTAAGACAATCACCTGTACAAACGACCACCTATCTAAGACAATCGCCTGTACAAACGACCACCTATCTAAGACAATCACCTGTACAAACGACCACCTATCTAAGACAATCACTTGTACAAACGACCACCTATCTGAGACAATCACCTGTACAAACAACCACCTATCAAAGACAATCACGTACAAACAACCACCTATCTAAGACAATCACCTGTAAAAACGACCACCTATCTAAGACAATCACCTGTACAAACAACCACATATCTAAAACAATCACCTGTACAAACGACAACCTATCTAAGACAATCACCTGCACAAACGTCCACCTATCTAAGACAATCACCTGTACAAACAAACACCTATCTAAAACAATCACCTGTACAAACGACCACCTATCTAAGACAATCACCTGTACAAACGACCACCTATCTGAGACAATCACCTGTACAAACAACCACCTATCAAAGACAATCACGTACAAACAACCACCTATCTAAGACAATCACCTGTAAAAACGACCACCTATCTAAGACAATCACCTGTACAAACAACCACCTATCTAAGACAATCACCTGTAAAAATGACCACCTATCTAAGACAATCACCTGTACAAACAACCACCTATCTAAAACAATCACCTGTACAAACGACCACCTATCTAAGACAATCACCTGTACAAACGACCACCTATCTAAGACAATCGCCTGTACAAACGACCACCTATCTAAGACAATCACCTGTACAAACGACCACCTATCTAAGACAATCACCTGTACAAACAACCATCTATCTAAGACAATCACCTGTACAAACAAACACCTATCTAAAACAATCACCTGTACAAACGACCACCTATCTAAGACAATCACCTGCACAAACGACCACCTATCTAAGACAATCACCTGTACAAACAATCACCTATCTAAGACAGTCACCTGTACAAACAACCACCTATCTAAGATAATCACCTGTACAGACGACCACCTATCTAAGACAATCACCTGCACAAACGACCACCTATCTAAGACAATCACCTGTACAAACGACCAATTATCTAAGACAATCACCTGTACAAACGACCACCTATCTGAGACAATCACCTGTACAAACAACCACCTATCAAAGACAATCACGTACAAACAACCACCTATCAAAGACAATCACGTACAAACAACCACCTATCTAAGACAATCACCTGTAAAAACGACCACCTATCTAAGACAATCACCTGTACAAGCAACCACCTAAGACAATCACCTGTACAAACGACCACCTACCTAAGACAATCACCTGTACAAACAACCACTTCCCACTTCCCCTCTTGCTATTTGCCTATTTTGTAAAGACACAGTCCAAGAGGACCAGGCACCGTCTAAGACTACCTCTTTCTTTTCCCCCTGGCTTTTACCCGACACAGCATGTTCTTCAGTACATCGCTAGCACATTCGTAAAGCCCTCTACACATAAAGTAAGATGTCTACTCTTATAACATTTTCTCTACCACCACCACAACAGTACCAGTTTCTGCTTCCTGGCAATAGTGGTAAGTTCCATGTTGGGTGTTGAAGCAGACTTCCGCACAGGTTCACTCTACTCACTGTCAAGACCTGTGTGGCCGTGCGGGGAGCGGCGGCCGTGAACTTCATGGGTGTACTATCCTCGCAGCCTTTAGTTTTTAGTTTTAGAAAGTTTTTTTTACAGCACTTGCAACGCAATAAGGTTATATTATATAAGTGCCAAACATTAGAGGGGTAACAGGAGAGAAACAAACACAAAAAAGAAGAAGGGGAGATAAGGACGACAGATATTTAACAGGAAACAAGAAGCAAACCACACCAGAGCAACCGCCAACCACCCAAATCGCAGCCTTACTTCAAAGGTTTTTTTTGTTTTTGTTTTTTTATAGATGCACTCATTTTTCTAGCGACAGCCACACTATAGGGTGGCTCTATACAACAGTGATATTCACACAGCAAATTTTGTCCAAACTCTCACATCTCTAAACAGTGCTGAACATTATGTACACGAGATCTTTAAGCAAACACAAACACACAGAGAAAGCATTTTTTCTTCCTCTCTCAATTACATAACAATATTCTCAGGTAAATAAACAGCAATTTAACATTTCCAGCAGTTTCTTACACCCCTCCCGTCCCTTCTCTTTTTGCAAGGTACGCTTCTTTTAGCAACCTTCCAAAAAAAACCCATATTAAAATAAAACCAAACCAAAAAAAGGGAAAGAAAAGAAAGCAATTAAAAGCAGAACATTCATGCCCTCCTGTCTGTATGCCAACAAATCAAAAGAAAGTAGGTGCTCACAGATCTCACAATATCGATATTCCACTTACTTACTGCTGTTCAACAAACAGCTTTTAGTTTTAGTAAGTGTTTTACGGCACTTGCAACACAATAAGGTCATATAATTGCCGAAAATTAAAGGTGTTACAAGAGAGTAACAAACACAAAAAAGGAGGGGAGATAAAGACGATAGACGTTTGATAGGAAAGAAGAAGCAAACCACATCAGAGCATCCATCAACCACGAACCAACAAACAGCGCAAAGCTCATTTTCTTGAACATCGATGTGTCACTCATCCATCGTGCTACACATTTGCACACACATCACTTACCACTGATCCAAACTCAAACTTACGCTACTTCAGAAACACGATATATCACAGATAAAAGATTCTGTCACCATTCACAATTTCATTCTACCCTGTCATCCTCACACAACTCAGAGACAGACAGGACAGTGGTGTTAACCAGGTGGGTCAACACAACCCCCCCCCCCCCCAAAAAAAAAAAGCAAAAAAAACCCAACAACAAAAAAATAAAGAAAAAGAATTGTTACCAATCATAATATTATTCAATTCAACATTCCATTCATTGACAAAGTTATAATACACAATGAAATTTACATGTATATCTTGAAAAATATTTGTACAACACACTGGTTAAATACAACAACATTTAGTGCAACAAACTGAATAAGTTGGGATGTTGTTTTTTTCTGATCCTCAATAATTTTTTGTTAAAAGCTGCATTAGATCTATTGCTTACAAATTGTAAAAAACAAGAGTCTGCCTAACTTCTATAGATTTATTTAATTTCGGAATTTGCTTATTTGCTTCTTAAAGAACATTGTGACATCAGAAGGTGCTATGCTCTGACTCTGTAACAAGAAGAAAGATCTTTTTTTTTCTGTTTTAAAAAACCCCCAACTGTTACACAGGGGTCAACAAAATTAGGAGTAAACACATACTACAAATAGAAGGAAAAGTACTATGGGCTTATGTATTTGTCTCCTTTTATCATTTAAATCAGAAGGGTGGGGGGGGGGTTTTTGGTTACTTTTTAATTATTTTTTTTGTGTGTAGAAAAATTGTCAAGAAACCATTTACACAACTAGAGCACAACACTATCCAATATTGTATCCGTCACAAAACAGTATGACAGTCCGTGGACAAACGTTATTGCTCTTGCTGCTGCAAACTTTGATAACTGGAGACATAACTCTGCAGTCAAGCAGACAAGAGGTCTTCATGTGTCAACAGGTGAACACTGTATTATTGTAAAGCGCATCCAGCACTTTCTTTGTAGCAATGTGAAATATAAATGACATTTTTCATTCACTTTTCGTGGCACAATAAGCACGAGTAATTGGAAACTCTGCCAAGCTAAAGTACGATTAATATAAATAAATAAATAAAATAAAAATAAATAAAAGGTAATCATTTTAGCCAACTGAACTATAATACCTATTCACAGGAGAAAAATTCAAGTATAAATATATAATTATTTGAACAGGCCAAACAATCACATAAGTTCTTTGCATTTTGCATTATATCCATGATGTCAAGAACAGATAGGCCATCTACTAAGAAGCTTATTTTACAGGGGGAGGCTAAACACTGTACTTTTAACTATCAAAGACCACTTCAACTTAAAACTGCATGTCCATGTGTTAAGCATTTACATACTTAAATTTTTAAACAATTTAATGAGAAGATGTATTTAACCTTGCTTTACACAACAGTCAAAAACCAGCTTTCAGTAAATTTTGGAGTTGAGCCATACAATCAATACACTTTATGTTTTTTGTTCAGTTTTCAAAAAAGAAAAAAAAATTCGTAAGATCTCAAAAATGACTCAAGATTTGGAAGGAGTATTGTTCACAATGCTATACAAGGACACATATTGTCTTGAAGGTCAACATTTCAACACTGCCACTGATGAAAGGCACTGATATTGATATATATATGAGGCGTGCTTACAAAATGAGTTACTTCTCGCAATCAAAGAAGGGAAATATCAGCCAAAAATCGACACAAGAGCCATATTTGTAGATTCCAAATCAATGCCATTCTCTTCAAGTTTTACATGAAAACTTTTATCATTTCATACTAATGAGTTGTAAAAACTCAATCTATACATTCGACGCATCTATTTCCATCGGGCTAAAATCAGAGAAGTAACTAATTTTGCCAGCACACCTCACATATTGTAAATGTTGGGTACCTCCATCGACATAGTTTAGATCATTTAGGAGGAAGGCTGCTTCTACCCTGCCCATCAGGACCAAAACGGGCTGAAAGGGAAGGGACACAACATTCCACCAGACAGACCAAGATACTCAATAAAAACTTTCCCCAAGGGGAACCGTATTCCCATCTTGTGCGTGCAAGGGCAGAGAATCCAACCACTACACCACAGACGCCAAAAAAGGCACCGAGGGTCTCATGTGCGCAGAAACAGTTTAGCAAAACAGAGTGCAGCAAGGCTGGGACACACAGGACAAAACAGAGGGCCACCTGTCCAAGACAATCACCTGTACAAACAACCATCCCCCCCCCCCCAACCTTCGGTTTAACAAAATATTTATATTGAAACTGCCCAAGACGTCCAGCAGTCTACGACAACCACGTTTCTCCTCAACAATGGGTGGCCGCCTTGGACAATTTCTTTCGAAAGTTCAAGACCTCACAATTTGTCTTTTCAACTTCAGGGAAAGGGGAAATAAAAAAAAATAAAAAATCCGCAAAGTTGTAACACACGAAAAAACATAGGGCCATGCTCAGTCAGATGTCTACTTGTGAGAGAAGGTTCCAGAACAATGTAAGTTGGTATAGAATCCAATAAGATTATCAACAAGTTAAAATGAATATTATATATATACATTACATGTTTTATTGAAATAATTCTAAAAGATTTTCTTTTTTAATCTTGGGATCCCCAAAACAGCATTCATCGTAGATGAGTATGTTTTTTCGAAGCTTTCAAAGCTTTGCAAGCAAAATGTCATATGATTTTGTTGGGTTTGTTTCTTTTTCGGAATAAAAAGGTAATTATATGTACAAAGTATTACATGCTTTCGTTGAAGAAAACAAACTCATTCTACCATCAAGTCAGGCACTCACAGCCCTGCACACAGTTCATCATTTTGCAACAGCTCACAGGGCTCAACACTCAAACACTCTTTCCTTCACTCACAACCCACCTCCAACTGCTATTTTATTCCAGCAACTCGCAACCTCGTGCTTTCTTGTCGTATCTCTATTTTTTCAACAGTGAAAATGTGACTTCTTTTAAAGTTCACTCTTTGTTATGAACTGTTTTCACTGTTATAAAAAATGGAGATACGACAAGAAAGCACTGAAGTCGCAAACTCTTGCTTCGATATTGTGACAAAACTCGCAGCCACAGTTGATCCACTGAAAAATGGGGGCTTTGCTAGTGAGCCCAAAATTATCATGCCATATTTGCAAGAAGGAATTTCATAATAGTCTACATAATCCGGCTTATATAACCTGTCTGACTGTACCTTTCCAGTATAGACAAAAATATAATTAAAAATTTTGTTTCTGTAAAAGGTGGCGCTCAAATCATGAGACCAATAGTATTGCTATAGAATACAAGTGCACCGTTTGATTTGTGACAACAGTAATCATTACTTGCAAAAACCAAGAGATCACTAGAGTGCATAACCTAGCATTAGACTCCACTATATCAGAAATGATGAGGGAAAAACTGAGCTTGATGTCCAGCCCATTATATGCACAACATCATGGGACACAGAACACAGCATCTTGATTTCTTTTTTTGAAAAAACAACAGCTGCCCGCCATGTTATGCAATCTAATCAAATGAACATAACATACATCCGTACACAGTGATCATATTGATCGGTTCTTAACGAATCTCCAAAGATTCAAACAATGTCCCTCCAGTTTACTCTATCTCGCCATGATGACATCTGAAATTCATCAGATTTTAGGATTTCTGAAACTTTATAGAAAATACAGTCAAACCTGCTTTCAGTTTAACAAAATGTTTATATTGACACTGCCCAATACGTCCATCTGTCTACAGCAAACCACTTTTCTCCTCAACAATGGGTGGCCGCCTTGGACAAGTCCTGCTGTACTTTGAAAAGTTCAACACCTCAATTTGTCTTTTTCAACTTCAGAGAGAGGGGGGGGGGGGGTCAACCCCCCCATATGCTCCACAAGGGCACAATCTTCTTTATTTAGGTAGCAAGGAGAAACCTTGGCGAAGAACATGGGCCACAACTCTGCAGTGGTAGTAGCAAGGGACACAACATCTGCAGCAACAGTTGGTCATCACAGACTGGACCAGCAACACACCACGTCTAGTCAAACAGGGCAGGAAATGACTTTTCCTTCCTGGGATTGACAAGAGCGATCTTCCTTCGCAGGCTTTCCCCTCGGCCTTCGCAACGCATAGACACCTAGTAAGGCAAACACATGCGGTAAATGTCTGCTGTAGCAAGTCCTGGCATCTTCCTAACGCATGAACACATTGTACAACAATGAAGGTGTCTAAATTTACACGATGAATGATTAATTTACGATAGGGGTTCACCAAAGGTTAGTCACAGAATACTGAAAAGAAAAGAAACAAAAATGGTCTCGAAAGACGACTCCTTACCTTGAAAAGGACTGACGTTATTTATGAGAGAGATTCTTACTTGATAGTGACTGAAGTATCTGACGGTTCTAGTTTTAGTAAAAGTTTTACGGCGCTTGCAACTGCATAAGGTCATATGAGCGCCAGAAGATTAGAGGTGTTACAAGAGAGTAACAAACATAACAAAGAAGAAGGGGAGATAAGGACGATAGATGTTTGATAGGAAAGAAAAAGCAGCTACTTTTAAAATCTTTCCAAAAGCTGAATTAGTGCATCAGTAAATGAAAACAGGTTTCTTTTAAAGACCACTGTTTGGTATGGGCAATTCAGGGAAAATACAAGCATCCTTATTTTGGTTATTTTCTGCATGGATTGATTAATTAAAGTTCTTACAGATGCAATTAGGTTATTTCGAAAGGAGTGTCCATAGTTCATTTGGGAAGAGGATAGAGAAGGAAGAAAGAAGGAAAAGAAGGCAGAGACAATACATGAAACTTACATTTGATCACATGAATAAGTAAGAGTAGATGTCAGTATATCCTCATCAGAGTGGTTGCACCTCCTGTTGGTGTGCAGTGGGTCTATTATTGCACCCAACCCACTTTGGGGGTGGGGGGAGGCGGAGGGGGAGGGAAAGGGAGGGGTGGGGGGAGAAGGGGCGGGAAAAGGAGGGGTGGGGGAGGAGAAGGGAGGGGGAGGAGAAGGGAGGGGGAGGGGAAGGGAGGGGGAGGGGAGCCGAAGGGGAAGGGAGGGGTAGGGGAGGCGAAGGGGAGGGGGGGGGGGGAGAGGAATCTATCAATATACACCATACTGAAGTGTCAGGACACAATAATAAAGTACACACAACACTAATATGAGATGAACCTACCTCGTCCGGATCTGTTCCCCGAGCAGCGTGATCGTGGTAGTACCAACGTCCCAGCGTGCCATCCCACTGCGGAGAGAACGGACAGGTTGTTTTGTTTTTGTATGTTTGAGGAAAGACAGATTTTAGTTTTAGTAAGAGTTTTACTGCCCTCGCAACTGCATAAGGTCATATGAGCGCCAGAAGATTAGAGGCGTTACAGGAGAGTAACAAACATAAAAAAAGAAGAAGGGGAGATAAGGACGATAGATGTTTGATAGGAAAGAAGGAGCAAACCACACCAGAGCACCCGTCAACCACCCACGGAAAGACAGAGCTCCCCACCCACCAGCATATCACGACCTCAGTGCTTTCTCATCATATCTCCATTTTTGTAACAGTGAAAATATGACTTCTCCTATCTTAAGCTCACTCTTTGTTATGAACTGTTTTCACTATTATGGAGAAAAAGTTGCGGGATGAGGAAGACAGGGAGACAGCAGAACACCACACAATCATTAGGATGCGGGAAATGGGGATAGAGAGGGAAGAAGGAAGAAAGGAACGATTATCTGGAAAGGAAAGACGTCGCTATAATCAGACAGCCACCGGAACAATCAGTATGGATACCTAGCGGGCTTTGGTGCTGGGGGGAACTGAGCAATTATGGACCTGTCCGGTGTGCAATGACGTTGTTGCCCACGACAGGTAATACAGGTAATAAACAAAGGTGTGATGAAAAAAGAGGTCAAGCCGGGCTCATCATTGTCGAGTTCCGATTCTTTTTTAAAAGGGAAAGGAAAGGGGGTGGGTGGTTTACTGTTTGCAGAATCAAAATAAACCTTTGGAACTCGAGAATGTGTCACAAATCTTTGATCCCGACTGTGTGTCCCGACACACCGAAATGTTTAACAATCGGAAGAGGTATTACGATGGTATTTTCGTAAAACTGAATAAAAATCATAACGATTCCACCGAATCTGTAATGATGGGCAGCCCTGTAAAAAGAGGCACATCGACAAAATAATGGTTATCTAGTGCTGGGAAATTTTTTTAGTTTTTTAGTTTTAGTAGAAGTTTTACAGCGCTCGCAACTGCATAAGGTCATATGAGCGCCAGAAAATTAGAGCTGTTACAAGAGAGTAACAAACATAAAAAAGAAGAAGGGGAGATAAGGACGATAGATGTTTGACAGGAAAGAAGAAGCAAACCACACCAGAGCCCCCGCCAACCACCCACTGGGAAAAAATAACGACAGAAACAACACAGGGGTTTGTATAGAAGTAAGACCTACCAGTAGTGCCCACCACCCTCCCAACTGACAAGTGGCAAGCTAATAAAAATAGACATAAGAAATTCTTCTTTTTGTATGTGATTTTATGCCTCCCCAGCCGCACAATTTGGATTATTTTAATTTAGGAGGCCGGCCTTGACACAGGCCGTCAGGGCCAACCCGGGCTAAGAGGGAAACTACGTGCCAGCTGAAAGGCCAAAATATTCAATTAGAACTCTACCCTTGGTGCTCATATGACCTTACGCAGTTGCGAGCGCCGTAATAAAACCTCTACTAAAATTAAAATACTCCACCCCAACAGGAACAGAACTCAGATCTTCTGCATACCACGGCACAGTGCATAACTGCTACACCACAGACGCCGTTTATTCCCAAGTAGTCTTCATACATACATATTAAACTAATGAATCATGACGCGGTGAAATCAGGCACTTGTCAATTTTTGGGTATGTGGAGTTATTGGTATCATCTCAAAGCTTATTTATTTGTTTCGCTTTCAATTTAAAAAATACCCATCTATCCTGAATAGAAGTCAAAGTATTTGTGATTGAAGGAGGTGAGGTCGCCTGGTTTCAGCGGTTCAATTATTGAGAAAATCGCCACCAAAGTTTGGTAACTCCAATTGCTAAAGAGTCCTTGAAAACTGAAAAATGACATATTTTGGGCCTTTTCAGTAAAATTCAAATGGAAATGTGTTTTAGAATGGACAAAAAACCCCCCAAAATTTGATAAAAATTGCCTGACTGGCGGGAAAATGCCTGTTTCTCCGATTTCATTATTTTGACGAGCGTCCGATTTCACCACAATGCCTCACAAATGTTTTACCGAAGTGCTGATGATGGTGTTCTTGTACGGATGCCAGGATACGTCTCTGGTACAAGAGTTGTGTCCTTCCAAGCGGCAGGCTACTTGACCAGTCAGCAGATCATACACTGCAAACAGCAAGAAATCGTTATTCTACAACATTCTATAAACGCCACTAGAGAAGCTTAAATCCACTTCTAGAAGTCCAGTTGAACACACAAAGGTTAAGACCAATTGACCACACAAAGATTAAGACCAATTGAACACACAAAGGTCAAGGCCAATTGAACACACAAAGGTCAATGCACAAAGATTAAGACAAATTGAAAACACAAAGATTAAGGCCAATAGAACACACAAAGACTAAGGCCAATGGAACACACAAAGGTCAATGCACAAAGATTAAGGCCAATTGAACACACAAAGATTCAGGCCAATTGAACACATAAAGATTAAGGCCAGTAGACCACACAAAGATTAAGGCCAATTGAACACACACACAAAGACTATGACCAATTGAATACACAAAGCTTAAGGCCAATTGAACACACAAAGATTAAGGCCATTTGAACACACACACAAAGATTAGGACCAACTGAATACTCAAAGATAAAGGTCAGTTGAACACAAAATATTAAGACCCATGAAACGTCTTTAACAAGAGCAGAGAAAATGATCACACTATTCCTTACCTTCAACATTGCCAATATCAAAATATAGTGATAATAATAATTAAATAACAATAGCAACAATAACAACTGCATTTATATAACCCAAATCCATGCTCTACTGCATGCTCTATGCACTTTACAACTATTAAAGACTTCAACATAAGTTAAGGACCACTTGCAAACACTCTGAGTGGTCTTCTTGGGCAGACCTGCACGTGGGCGTTCTTGGACTGATCCAGTGGCTTGATGGCGCTGCCTCAGGCTGACAATGACAGAGTATGACACTGCAAGCCTTCTGGTAACTTCTCAGGCTCCAACTCCATCCTGCAGCCATGCCACAGCTTTGGCACGATCAAAGCCTCTCAGCTTTTGTCTTGGTGACACGTTGATGCGATACTGGATTTTAAGCAAACGGCAGCTTATAATGCCACCAAAGTGAGCACAGTTTGAGACCGTACGTCCGTTTATGAAGTGCACCATAAATTTTAGCTGTGGAATGCCCGTGATGTCGCACACATGTCGATCAAAAACAGCAAATTTGGCTAAAATTCCTGGAGGATTTCGTGCAGCACGCGATGGTTTTGCCTCATTTGGAAGCATTGCAGTACGCATTGGTAACCCATTAACACTTTCAGAGTAAAAAATTTTGAAACATTAGCTGTTGTCTTTTTTTCTGATTTTTAAAAAATCAGGGCTGTCTGTCAAGGTGGTCCTTAACTTATGGTGAAGTCTGTAGAACCCCAGTAGATCCTAAAACACTCAGAAACATTCGCAGCTTCCTGGGAAGCTACAATCATATAGAGCAAGCAGCCAATAAAACGCTCCAACACTAACAAATTGACAAGATCTTTCACTGTCTATAATAATAATATTTATAATAATAATAATGAAGATCATTTCTATAGTGCCCACTCCCGTTTAAACACAGTTCTAGGCGCTTTACATAAATGCATGCACGAACAATATTCATGCACACGACACACACACGCACACACACACACACCCATGCACACACATGCATTAACATACCATTGTACAGAACATGAATCTACTGACATATAAATGATGTCAGTAAATGTGTCTTTAAAAATCTTTAAAAAGAGTAAACACTTTTCCTTACCCACAACACTGCCCGTGGCACAGCCTGAGTAGACATAGCGCTGCCCCGTGCTCGTCTCCGGGGAAAACTTGCACCGGATCAAGGTGTGAAGGACGCAGTGGCCTCGGTAGGTCATCACCGACGTGTCTCCTTTCAGTTCCTTTTTCCGTGCCACTTATGGTTCGAAAATAGAGGAAAAAATTAATCAGATAAAATGTTTTTGAGCGTATCGGTTAAACAGTAAAAACACAATGACCTGATGAATGCCTGATAGGCAATGCAGTAGAACTGAGAACCATATGCGAGGCGTGCTGACAAAATGAGTTACTTCTTGCAATCCACAAATCGGTATATTGGTCAAAAATCGACACTGGGGTCAAATTTGTAGGTTTTCGATTGAAACCACATTCTTTAATTATAACATGCCTTTTATTATTTCATACTTATAAATTGTAAAAACTTCACCTATAAGTATGGAGTATGTATTTCCATCAGGTTTGAATCTATGAAATGACTCATTTTGTTGTCACGCTTCACATATGCCCCTCAAATTAAAAAACATTACAAATATTATTTCCATGACAATCGTGCAGAAATTGTCACAAACCGACAAACTGCACTGAAATTAAATGAAAAGCAGCACAGTATGAAGAACGAACAAAAAACCCACAAATGAGACACGAGTGAGTAGTCCTGTCAAAAAGCACTTACTTCTTCGTGGAACCTGCTGCCATCTGTAGTCCCATCTCTGAGATGAAACCACTTTCTTCGTCTCCTGAAAAAGAATAAAAATGTGATGAAAGCCTGAGAATGGAACAATCAGGTACTTTTGTTTTCATAGAAAAAATGTTATTTATACATATATACATAATATTATAATTAGGTTCTTTGAGTACACCCATCATTTTATAATGTGATATCTACAACTGTAAAATGCATTGAACATTTTTAGGAAAAAGGAAATATTTAATATACAAATTATATATACTATTATTATATAATAGGATGTTTGATAGGAAACAAGGAGCGAACCACACTAGAGAACCCATCAACCACCCACAGAGCATTTTCAATCCAAAACCTCCTTTAAAAGACAAAAGTTTCAAAATTCAGGCTAGTATAAATGGAACGGAACAGAAGACATTACGACTTGAACAGAATCACGTAATAAACTTGCGAGACAATAAAATAACCTTCTCTTCCTCCTGAAAAAAGAAAAATATGTTTCCACATCACATGACAATCAACTGGTCCCCCATCCTCACCTCAACACCTGTTTGGTCAGAGAAACACCTGACATCCCATAATTTCAGAGTCTGGTCCTTGGAATTGGAAATGAAGAATCGTGCATCACCCTGTAGATATCAATAATAGTAAAAAAAATCAATTAATAGCATTTTTCTTAAGTGCATATCCGTGCTCAACAGCAAGCTCTATGCACTTTACAATCGATATTCTAGCCCCTAGCAGATTGTAGAACACTCGGAAACATTCTTGGCTTCTCAAACAAAACAGCACTGAATCAATACCTGAATCTAAAATATGAGGACGACTCCCATTCTGAAAAACCGTCTTTGCACTTGTCACACCTTGTCCACAGTGTTGGGGTCACTACAGTCGACACATGTCCATTCATCTCTCCCCCCCCCCTCTCTCTCTCCCCCCCCCCCCCTCTTCAGGATCCACTTTTGTGACCATGTATGCAGACCCAATTCGACAGGTTGGTTACACATCTCCCGCCCTCACTCCAAAAATCGGAACCAGTACATATGTAGAGACAGTCGAAGCTGCTCCAACAGCTATCTGTCAGAGACAATCACCTGTACAAATGACCACTTCCCACCTGGTGTCTTTTCTTCTCGTCAACGGGCAGCCATCTTGTTTTTTTTAAGTTTTAGTAGAGGTTTTACGGCGCTCGTAACTACATACGGTCATATGAGCCCCTTGCCATCTTGGACAACATCGACTGCAGTTAAATTTGTCATTAACACCAATGTATATATATATGAAAAAAGGGACATCTTGGAATAACAGATAGCTACCATGAGCTGCCCCATAAAGAACAGGTGATTATCTTCCGACAAAGAACCCAACACACAAGACTGAGACAACATATGTACAGATGTTTTAAACTAGCGCAATCACAAAAAAGCCAGTGTGGAGAGGCGGACCAAACTGTTGAACACATCCTTCAGCACTGCAAGACACACAGGAAGACACACAGGAAACGTGTCCAACCCCACTGACACTGCAAGAGAAGCTATAGGGGCCGACAGATGAACTGAGCAGGACGGCCCAATTTATGATAGATACCAGACTTCAAGTGTGATGCGATCGAGAAGAAGAAGAAGATTCAAGACAGATCGCTATTTTTTTCGCCGATAGCAAGACAACTGAACAAGCTTTAGGATGATACCAATAACTCCACATGCCCAATAATTGACGAGTGCCTGATTCCACTACATCATGACACATGAAAAAAAGGGACATCTTGGACCTACCTTCGAGTCGATGTACGTGATCCCATCTGAGTGACCCGCGAGTACGCCCACGGGTATCGGTCGCTCCTCTCTCAGAGTTCTCCTGTCCCACACCTTGAGGAATGAGTTAATGAATGAAATTAAGAAGTCTGTTTGTTTGTTTAGTTTTAGTAAGAGTTTTATGGCACTTGCAACATAATAAGGTCATATAAGAGCCTAAGATTAGAGGTGTTACAAAAGAATAACCAACACAAAACAGAAGGAGTTGAGAGAAGGAAGATAGATGTCTGATAGGAAAGAAGGAGCAAACCACACCAGAGCACCCGCCAACCACCCACGTTTGTTTGTTTTGTTTGAATAAAAAGAAGTCCATTGACACAATAACAATCATTTACAGCAGAGAAAAGGCAAGAGTAGAGAGAGAGTCGGGAACAATAAAGAGAAAGAAAAGATGTACATCCTATCAGGGGTCCCCTCCAACCAGTCGCAAAAGAAGAAAAAAATATGTCACAGGAACAATAGTTATTATAAGGCCAGATATATTTTACTCAGATCTTAATTAATTCTTAACTCATTCCCTACCTATTATTTTCGCCTTGTGGACGAATTTTTTTCGGGAAGGCGAAATGAGATGATGACTAGTGCGCAGTTCAAAGGTCTTTGGGGCCACAAATTCAAATAAATATTAACATATTACGCACCGAAATTTTCAGTATGATTTGTAGAATACATCTGTTACGTTTGTTTGTGCATTTTTCAACTTTGGTTCCTGTAAGAGGCGATTATGCAACACAATTTTTCTTGGATGCGGATACAATTTGAAAATAAAAAATTAATCATCTTCGGTGAAACTCAAAAAATATGTTTGCACCTAGTCAAATGATACACCAAAATCACCATAAATGAATATAGAACTGGAAAATATTGAAAAATTTGCAGTTATTTATATGCATTCCATAAAATTTGCACATTTGGATCATGACATCCGATATTGAAAAAAAATACAACAATTTTATAATCTTGAAAAACGGACAAGATGCATTCACAAACAGAATAAAACACTCGTGTCGTGTATGGAATTATTCAGAATCGTACTTGGAATAAACCTACACATGCCTTGAGTGGTACTTTTGTGTAATTTCACAAAAAATATTGATTTTTGTGAGAAAAAAATAATTTGACAGTTTAGAGATCTAGATCAAGATCTAGCACTGGAAAATAATGATTTTTCAATAACAGAACAATGGCAATTTCAGCCCAATTGTATCAATATTCTAAAGAAGAGTCCTACATTTCTTTAGTGTGCAAAATAATGATATATTTTGTTGTGAAAAGGAAGTAAGACTGGTGTGTGGGCTATAATTTGAGCATCACGATAAAACAAAGTGGCATAAACTTCGAAATCCTGTTTCAAAACTGAATCAAAACTTCCGATTTTCGGTGGAAACGCTTGACCCGGAAGTCAACATTATATTAGGACTTTTATTTTAACATGGATATGTGGATTGGAATAGAATCTCAGCTAAAATTGAAGATCGGTTCTCAAGCCGCTGGGGGCGGCTTAGCGTACTGACGGCACTTTAGCTGCACCGCCCCCCACGGCTCGGCGTAGCGAATGAGTTAGGTAATCATAAACAAACAAAAACTCACCAAGGCGAGTAGCTTGAGCAAATTTGAGAGCTGTTTACAGAGTTTACAAAAGTAAGCCAGGCTTTGGTCATCAGCGAAGAGTAATTCATTTAGGGCGTCTGGTTCTGTGTTGGCCTCTTTTGTAATTCTATCCATATATCGCCACTACTATTTATCATATATATCAAAAATTAGATTTCAACTTTGAAATAAAAGTACTGTATCAGACTCTGACCTTGCATAGTCCATCATCTCCACCGCTGTAGAGAATCTGCGAGCTGAAGTCAGCAAATCGGACAGTGTTCACATCATCATCGTGAGCATCAATCTGGCAGAAACAAGAATGAAGGCTATTACAGAAACGAGTAAGACAAATATGTACATGTATGGCAGACAAGAGAAAAACACAAATATGAACAGGCGCCACAGAAAAGAGAAAGTTTTCAGTTTCAGGAGAGAGAAGCATATTAACACGATTGTAAAAAGCAGATTCAATAACATCATCTCAATCAGTGGTGTAAAAATTCTACAAAGATCTATATGCAGTTCCAGTTGGAAGTTGTCTTTGACAGATTTATCAAACAGTTTTCAGCCTCTCCTGGAGAAATAGACTTCCTGGGAGATGGACCATCTGTGCCCGGCATCATTAATACATTATTTTCTGCTAACAACCAGTAACAGAACATCCTGGACCAAAAGGTTTGTTCTTTTTCGTTAGAGTTTACAGCACTTGCAGCACGATAAGGTCATATAAGTGCCGAAGGTTAGAGGTATTACAAAGGAGTAACAAACAAATAAAAAAAGAAGGAGGGGAGATAAAGAAGATAGATGCTTGATAGGAAAGAAAGAGCAAACCACACCAGAGCACCCTCCAACCACCCACCCAAAAGGTTACCCTGGTACAAAACCGTAAAGACAACGGTGAGGGAACAGCAACTTAAACTCTACCTTGAGCGTTCTCTTGTTTGCTTCTCTGTCGTAGACATATATGTTCCCGTCGTTCGCCCTGCAAAAGTGCACAGTTCAAAAAGTGTTAAGAGGAAAAATATGTACACAGAACGAAAAACAAATTAAACGAGTTCATCCCTTTTCAAAGACTTTACAGCAATGTGAGGAAATAATCAACATGCACTAAAAAGATATAGCCAAAAGAAAAAGAATTGTAAAAAAAATTACCTGAAATTTACCTCAACTTACAGTCACACCTGCCTTAACAGCCATCTGTCCTAGATAACCACCTGTACAAACGACCACATCCCCCACAATGCAAGTTTCCTATATAATACTGACACTGTCTAAAACTCTGCACCTGTCTAAGACAACCACTTTTCTACTCGACAATGAGTGATCATCCTGGACAATTTCGACGGCATTTTGTTGAAGCATAATTGCCTCTTTTTAACTAGGAAAAAAAATCTACAACAAAGAAAGCCTCAAATTTCTCTTGTCGATCCAGGTTGTCATTATCGCTTTTGTTTTTGTTGTTATCTTTAAGGAAACGCTCTATATAAATGCAATTTATTATTTTATTATTATTATCATCATTATTATTATCCAGCCAGATCTCTCAAATTTCCTTGTGTGCAGCGCCACCATGCAAACAACTCACCTTATCAATAATACATGCTCACTATTGGACCAATAAATTTATTTTTCCCAGAAACCTGCCTTCGTTCAATTTGGGGGGGGGGGGGGGGGGTGTCTTTTAAGTTTAAATAGAGTTTTAAGGTACTTGCAAAACAAATGATAAGAGGTGTTACTAGACAGTAACCTACAAAGAAAAGAAGGAGGAGAGATAAGAACGACAGATGTTTGATAGGAAAGAAAGAGAAAACAAACAACACCAGAGCACCCGATAACCATCCAAAGTTCAAGCTTCCTTGCATCCAGCACGGCGCGACCTCAGTGCTTTCTTGTCGTAGCTCCAATTTTTTCAACAATGAAAATCTGACTTCTACTTAAGCTCACTCTTCGTTATGAACTGTTTTCCTTCCTTTCTTTACTTTTTCATCCTCTGTTGCCGCTAAGCGTCGAGGGGAGATGAAGTTTTCTATGGTAGACCAGCTCCGCAGCTCTTTCAGTTGTGATATTTTGTCTTCTCAGGGTTTCCTTGACACCCACCCTCGATCCACCTTTTGCTGGGCCTTCCTCTTCCTTTATAGCCTGAGTGCTTGGTGTTCTAAGATCTCGAGGCTTGCTGGCCAGGTGACATACATTACAGGTGGCCAAATCATTTTATTCTCTGTCTTTCTATGTAATGCCGGCAGCACTCAATGCCGATAGCTCCTCTTACTGTTTTCACTGTTATTAAAAATGGAGATGCGACCAGAAAACACCAAGGTCGCGACCTGTGCCCAGGAACTTACCCTCCCAATATCTCCTTGTTGTCGTAGGAGAACATGAGGGAAAAGATACAAAAACTGTGGTCGCCAGGGTTGAGGTGGAGGGCTTCGTGAATGTCGTGGTCCCCGTAGATGTTACTGATGTGGACTGGGGGGAAAAAAGAGTTCAGATTTAGGCTCAACTTTTACAGCATTTGCAACAGAAAAATATCGTGCTTTGAGGCATCATGGTGAAATCAGGCCCTCAACAAAATAATGAAATCGAAGAAAATGCTATTTTTCTTCCTGTTTGACAATTTTTATCAAATTTTTAATTTTTGGCTCAGTACCTTTTATGTCCCTTAAAAAATACTTTGCTATGTGGCTGTTACAGAAACAGTTTGATAAAAGAAGAAGGAGAAGGAGAAGGAGAAGGAGAAGGAGAAGAAGGACAAGGAGAAGTAGAAGAAGAAGAAGAAGAAGAAGAAGAAGAAGAAGAAGAAGAAGAAGAAGAAGAAAAAAACAAAAAGAGAAAACTCACTGCAGTCGGACCAACTGGAATACGCTGCGTAGCGGCCGTCTGGACTGTGAGGGAGGAAACAAAACAAGAGACAAATATTAGAACGTAATTAGCCTTTCTTTTCCCCCAAATTTTTTATCCTTCCTTCCCCTTTACAAATCTTTCATCCTCTCCCTGTCTCTCTCTCTCTCTCTCCCTCCCTCTCTCTCTTTCTCTCTCTCCCTCCCTCTCTCCCTCCCTCTCTCTCTCTCTCTCTCTCTTCCTCCCTCCCTCCTTCTCTCTTGCTCTCTCTCTCTCTCTGCAGTTTCATAAGTGATGTGGGGAGGTGCAGATGCGGTGAACCCCCGAACCTTCAATCTCTCGGATACGGGTCCAGTAGCCTAACCACTGGGCCACCGACGCAACTTTCAAACTCAGGGTTCGTACTGAAAAGAGGAATTTTTTTCCAAAGACTTTTCAAAAAGTTTTCAAGATCAAATTTCATTTTTCATAGACAAATAACATATCAATTCGGAAGAAAATTTTTCATTCAGCATGCAAAAATACATATGGTACACTTCCGACTGCATAAAGTCGAGGCCTTCTAAATTTCGAGGAACATTTTTTACAATAGATATCTAATAAAGAATTTGTTTTTCCAAGACTTTTCCAAGAATTTTGCCAACTTCCCAAAATTCCAAGAGTTTTCCATTTCTTGGAAAATAAAAACAACATTCCAAGAGTTTTCCATTTCTTGGAAAATAAAAACAACATTCCAAGAGTTTTCCAGTTCTCCAAGACCTGTACGAACCCTGCAAACTGCTAGGATTGTGGAGAAATCCTGAAAGTAGAAAAGCATAGTAAAATGGGGTTCTCTGTAGTACCTGAAGGCTGTGTCCAGGATACTCCACCCCACATCGCGGGCCCTGATGCACTTGATGACCTTGAACTCATCATCAGAAGTGTCGTAGACGCGGAGGTGTTGATCTGAAGGGGGAAAAAGGTTCATCATACATGAGATGGTTTGGAAACACAAAGTTGTTGGGGTTGTTTTTTTCTTTCTCTCAATCCCTCTCCATCCTTTATCTCTCCCCCCCCCCCAATTCTATCTACTATTCTCTCTCATAAATCCAACACTCTTTCCCTCTCTCTAAATCCCTTTCCTCTTCTTTTATTAGCCACCCCTTTTCTAAACTCATTCATTTTTCTTTACCCTCTTTTACTTCTTACTTTCAATCCCACCCCTTCTTTTTCCCTCTTCCTCTCTCTCTCTTAATTCTTACATACTTTCTCTCCTCTTCTATTGTTTTGTATTCCTCTCTCTCTCTCTCTCCCTCTCTCTCTCTCTCCCTCCCTCCCTCCCTCCTTCCTTCCTTCCTTCCTTCCTTCCTTCCTTCCCTCCCCCTCTCTCAAAATACGTCCCCAAGGGAAGCAAAACTAAATAGTTATTTTTCATTGTCCACAACCCACCAACAAAATAACGTAACCTACCTTGACAGGCTGACAGGAAGACATTGCCATCTGCTGAGTAGGAGCCGCAGAATGCCTTGTGGTGGTAGGAGCAAATCTTTTCCATCTTATTGGGGAGGTACCTGAAATGAAAATACAGCCAACGTCATCATAACAGCCTAATCCCTGGTCAGCAGAACATAAGGGTGGAAGTCTTGTTCCTGACAGTGGTAACACAGTTTCCCACCGGGACAACAGTTAGCATTTAACATTTTTTTTTATAGTAGAGGGTTTTACGGCGCTCGCAACTGCATAAGGTCATATGAGCGCCAAGGGGTGGGTGTCAACAGAGAAGTCTTTACAGGGAATCAGACTTGGACTGCTCACCTCTCTAGCTTCAACAGCAAAAGGTCTGCTTCGACTATCAAGGCACCCCGGAAATAGCAGGTTACAAGAGAGTGACAAACATACAAAAGAAGTAGAGGAAAATGACAATAGTAAGGATCAGGAAAGAAAAAGCAGTAGTTCCCTGTTGTAGATCAGGCACAGTTATGAGAGTGACACGAGTCAGCCCATTTACAATTCTACTATGCAAGAACGAGACATGTCCCCCCTTTGGGAATGGCCTAAAGACACTACAGTTAGTGGCACTGCCCCGGGTGGTTGGGGGGGGGGGGGGGGGGGTAAGTAAGCATTTTATGGCACTTGCAACACAATAAGGTCATATAAGTGCCGAAGATTTGAGGTGTTACCAGAGAGTTACAGACACAAAAAAGAAGGAGGGGAGATAGAGACGATAGATTTCTTATTATAGGAAAGAAGGAGCAAACCCCACAAGAGCACCCGCCAAACACCCACTTAGAGGTGTTACAAGAGAGCAAAAATCACAAAAACGAAGTGGGGGAGATATGGATGATAAACGTTTGAAAGGGAAAGAACGAGCAAGCCACACCAGAGCACCCGCCAACCACCCACAACACAAGCCACCTACTCCAGTAGGACAAGAGGGTGGGAGTCTTGTACCTGCTAGTGTGAGCACAATTTAATAATAATAATAAATAGCATTTGTATAGCGCAAATCCCCGCTCAACAGCATGCTCTATGCGCTTTACACTATATTATTACCCCAGCAGACCATAGAACACTCCGAAACATTCTCAGCTTCCCGGGAAGCATACAGTGCAAGCAGCAGATCAAGCGCTCAAACACTAACATACTGACAAGATCTTTCGCTGTCTATAGCCGGGTACCCATTCCCACCTGGGTGAAGTGAGGAAAATTCGTGTAAAGTGCTTTTCCCAAGGACACAACGCCGGGTCCCTGACGGGATTCGAACCCACGACCTTACGGTTGCGAGTCCGAGAGCCTAACCACTAGGCCACCAACGCCACAGGGACAAAACTTTTAATGACATCAACTTCATCCATCTATCTGACTGCCTCCACCCCACCCCCCTTCCCCCAACCTTCCTCCGCCCTTTCCAAATTAAAAAAAATCTTTTAAGAACTCCCACCCACCCCAAACAAACAAAACACAGAACAAACAAAAAAATAAAGAAAAACCAAACATTACAAACACCCTGTGAAAAGCAGACATCTCTCCCTAAACCCCTGCAACCATCAAAACTGCTTCATGATCTATTACATCTCTTCATAAACTTGCATGTGAAGGTATTTCCCAGAATCTTTAGTTTAGTTTTAGTATGGTTTTATGGCGCTCACAACTGCATAAACCATAATCTTTACTTTCTCCTCCGCTAGACAAAACACACACAGAATGGACTCACTTGGAATTCAGTAAACACTGATCTCCGTGGGAGAACTGCTGCTGCCGATTCAAGCCAAGCTCCCTCTGTAGGATGAGAAGGAGGGGAGATAAGGATGAATGATGTTTTGTTTTAGTAAGTGTTTTACGGCATTAGCAACACAATAAGGTCATATAAGTACCGAAGATAAGAGGTGTTACAAGAGAGCAACAAACACAAAAGAGAAAGAGCGGAGATAAAGACAATAGATGTTTGATAGAAAAGAAGGAGCAAACCACACCAGAGCACCCGCCAACCACCCACTAAAAAAAGACAAACACTGGGAAACACAAGGACAAGCACTGTAAAAAAAAAGGGGATTTTAAAAAAATGTGCACGAGACAAACGCTGACAAACACGGATATTAAACAAACAAAGAAAAGACAAAGGCTGACACCCCCCTCAGTGACCGCATACATTACCTTGACCAGCATGTTGGGTACCGTGGGCTTCATCATGGTCAGCCATCGCTTGTCTGACCAGCGGCCCGATGACCTCATCACCGCAGTGAAAATATCACTTTTCTGTGGAGTACAGTGTTGTCAATGTAACGTTTGCCGCAGCGACGTAAATATAGTCAATGCAATGTTTGCCGCAGCGACGTAAATATGGTCAATCTAACGTTTGCCGCAGCGTAAATATTGTCAATGTAACGTTTGCCGCAGCGACGTAAATATAGTCAATGTAACATTTGCCGCAGCGTAAATATTGTCAATGTAACGTTTGCTGCAGCGACGTAAATATAGTCAATATAACGTTTGCCGCAGCGACGTAAATATTGTCAATGTAACGTTTGCCGCAGCGTAAATAGTGTCAATGCAATGTTTGCCGCAGCGTAAATATTGTCAATGTAACGTTAGCCGCAGCGTAAATATTGTCAATGTAACGTTTGCCACAGCGTAAATATTAATAATAATGATAATAAATAGCATTTGTACAGCACATATCCCTGCTCGAAAGCAAGCTCTATGTGCTTTATAAATATTATTAATACCCCAGCAAACCCATATTATCAATGTAATGTTTGCCGCAGCATAAATATTGTCATTGCCACAGTTGCCGCAAAGTAAATTTAATTTTTCTGTAGAGTACAGTGATGTCTATACGTCTATGTAGCATTTGCCACACGTAAATATTGTCGACGTAACGTTTTCCGCAGCGTAAATATCGTCAATGTAACGTTTGCCGCAGCGTAAATACTGTCAATGCAACGTTTGCTGCAGCGTAAATACTGTCAATGTAACGTTTGCCGCAGCGTAAATACTGTCAATGTAACGTTTGCCGCAGCGTAAATACTGTCAATGTAACGTTTGCCGCAGCGTAAAAACTGTCAATGCAACGTTTGCCGCAGCGTAAAAGTCATTTTTCTGTGGAGTACAGTGTTGTCAATGTAGACAATGTAGATGGAGTGGTAAAGACCATTGTTGTTTAATAGGAAAGAAGGAGCAAGCCAAACCAGAGCACCCGCAAACCACCCACCGAGAAACCACTCTGGCACGCAAAGATAAACAACTGAAAAAAAGCACAAACCTTCAGGTTCTTTACATCTGGGTTCAGGTCAGCTGAAATAAATGCAAAAGCTTTAAAAAAGAATCTCACAAGATAAAGAGGATGACAATAGGTTCACATACAAGTTGTATTTCATCAACGTGCAGCAAAAATAGCCTTCGTAATACAAAGGCTAAAATCAAATGTGAGGAATCCTGGTGAAATCAGGTGATCGTCAAAATAACAAAATTGGAGAAAATGTAGGCATTTTCCCACCAATTTCGCAATTTTAATAAAATTTTCGGGTTTTTTCAACCCTTTTATGTCCAAATAAAAACACATTTCCATGCGAATTATATTGAAAAACGTTGGCTAAAAGCTCAAAATATATTATTTTTCAGTTTTCAAGGACTCTTTAACAATTGAAATTACCAAATTTTGGAAGCCATTTTCTCGCTATTTTTATGGTGAAACCAAGTAAACGTATCTCTTTCAATTACAAATATCTTCACTTCTGCTCAAGATAGATGCGCATCCCCCCCCCCCCCTTCAAAAGCAAGATAAACGAACAAGCTTTAAGATGATACCAATAACTCCACATGTGCAAAAATTGACGAGCGCCTGATTCCACCGCGCCGTGACACAAATTAACCCACAACGACAGGCTACCACCAAATTATACACCACTAGAAATGAACCAACAGAGGTTTAAGTTATAAATAAAGAGCTCATCGTGGTTTTAGGCAGCTAAAGAGATTAAAACCAGGAGGCTCTTGCGATTTTTACTCCAAACTGTGACAAATGACTTTTAGGCAGGTTCATAGCAGGTTGACAATATAAGATAATATTATATTGACACCTCGTGGAGCCAATGCTTCTAAAAAGGGTAAATTTTAAAAATGGAAAATCTTCAAAGTTGAGTTACATGTAAGCTTGGAAAATTCATACCACATGTTGAAAACAGTTTTTCTTAAATTACAAACAACATTAACTTTGTCCACACCATATTAAACTCTCTCTCTCTCTCTCTCTCTCTCTCTCTCTCTCTCTCTCTCTCTCTCTCTCTCTCTCTCTCTCTCTCTCTCTCTCTCTCTCTCTCTCTCTATCTCCACATCATATTAAATTAGAAAACTTTCGTATTAAAATAAGCACGCACAGTCTCTCTCTCTCTCTCTATCTCTCTCTCTCTCTCTCTCTCTCTCTCTCGTCTCTCTCTCTCGTCTCTCTCTCTCACACTCACACACCCTCACTCACACACACCCGCACACACTCCCGCGCGCGCGCACACACACACACACAAACATCCCCACTACACACACACACACTCACATCCCCTACACAAACTAGTATATTATATATAATATAATAATATAAAATATCATATATCTATATGCAGCCAAAATGACTCACGGATTGGAGCTCTGGAGGGTGCCACAAACTCGCAGTCTGACGAGTTGTCACTGTCTGAGTCTCCAGTGTCCCGGCTGATGAACCGGATCTGGCCGCTGAGGGGAAAATGAGTTCAATAGTAAGAGTGTTTAGTTTCAGTACGTGTTTTACGGCACTTGCAACACAATAAGGTCATATAAGTGCCGAAGATTAGATCATGCGTTACAAGAGAGTAACAAACACAAAAAAGAAGGAGCGATAAAGACGACATATGTTTGATAGGAAAGAAGATGCAAACCACACCAGAACACCCACCAACCAACCACAGAAAGAGCGTTTTATAGCATTTTCAAAACAATTAGGTCATAATATAAGTACCGAAGATTAGTGGTGTTACAACAAGAGAGTAAAAAAAAGGAGGAGAGCTAAAGAAGACAGATGTTTAATAAGAAAGAAGGGGCAAACCACAACAGAGCATCCGCCAACCACCCTGAGGAAAAATTTACAAAAGAAAAGTCTATCAAGAGATAAGATCATAATACCGGGTGCACATAGGCGCGATCGGGTCGGGTCTGGTCAGGTCGGTTTGCTTGCTAGATAGAGGGACCGAAGCGGCTATCGTGACAAAAACCGACTGCCCGACTCGTCGCCTCCAAAACACACGCTTTTAAAATTTGTTTTCATACAGGGCGCCTATTGGCGACGAGTCGGCGATCGACCCGACCCGACCCGATCCCATTAGTAATGGAGAGGCAGAGGCAGACAGAGGGAAAAGATACTGGACAAGACGACAACATGGCTAGGAGGAGCAAGAACAACAGACACCATTGCTGCAACGCAAGACAGAGTGAAGTGGAGGTCCATGATCGCCCACGCCAGTCGGCAAGGCACCGGATGATGATGACGAGGACCCTGTTTAATTATAAGAACACAGTCGAACTTGCCTAAGACAGCCTATGTGTATATAGGCAGAAAAGGTGATTTTAAAAACAACAACCCAGAGAGACTTATCACAATTAGAAAATAGAAAGAAAACGGAAGGCTACAAATTAATCAATGATGGGGAAGCAGTCTAGGGCCTTTCACACATATGCGACTCCTAACACGATGCAAGGGGTTTAATTAAAACCCAAACACTATTGTAACAGTATACTGGTACGATATCACAATGTATGGGTTCAACTTTAATTGTTGCTTTTTAAAAAAAGTTTTAGTAAGGTTTTACGGCACTCGGAACTGCATAAGGTCATATGAGCGCCACAGGGTGGATGTCAACAGAGAAGCCCAAACGGGGAATCAGTTTTACTCTGCTCACCTCTCTGGCCTCAACAACACAAAGTCTGCTTCGACTATCAAGGCACCCCGGAAATAGCAGTTCACAAGAAAGTGACAAACATACAAAAGAAGTAGAGGAAAAAATGACGATAGTAAGGTTGAGGAAAGAAAAAGCAGCAGTTCCCCCTATGTTGTTTTGGCACAGCTTGAGCATGGCATTGATAAATCAGCCCATTTACAATTCTACTGTGTCTGGTTGCTGAGATGTGAGTTTTGTGCTTTTTCACGACGTTTCCACTTTCAAGCTGAGAGAGAGAGAGAGAGAGAGAGAGAG